AAGGCACATAGTGCCTAACGTTCTGAGTTGTCACATTTATTTTCAATTAACTAGAATGTACGCATGCCAATTAACTAGAATGTATGTATCTCTAATATAGAGACTTAAAGTTTATTTCTCAACTTTTGATTAAACTACTGAAACAACATACATTCAGAGGGAACAAAAGCAGAAGTCATTGGTGGTTTATTTGCATATAAAAAGCTAGCCAAACAAGGTTTACAGGCAAAATTATTTGATGATATTCAGTTACCTGTTGGAACTGTTAAATCTAAGGTACTGAATTAGAAACTAGACAATCTACTTCACTAATGTTGTAATCCTATGTTCACTTATGTGGAAGTAAGTCCTACTGAAACCAGGAGGGGTTACTATGAGTAGAGGCAGAGTTGCACTATAACCAACTCTGGTCCACAGATTAAGTAATATAAACTGTCCCCAGGTTACAAACAAGATCTGTTCCTGAGAACATCTTTAAGTTGAATTTAAATATAATTCAGATCACATATGTATGGGCAATATTTAGCATGAGGAAGCCCAATGTTTTGTTCTAGTATATGTGCATATTTTACTTCCCTAAGCATATAAAACACTTAAGAAGCACTTCTTTATACAGTATGCCCTCCCTATTCACAGGTGTTAAGGATGTAGGACCCTGGCAGAAGTGGAAAACAGGGAAATATCTCTAAGGACCCTTGCAAACCTTAACGCTTAATACTGTTGACCATATGTATGCTAGATTGCTTCTCCCATTCTCTCTTAGACTCTGATCCAGCAGCACTCCTTCATTTATTGCATTCTTATATTCTTATTCCCTGCCTTTCCTTTCATTCACTCGTTCGTCCTCTTTGCATCAAGAAAATGACAGTTTTCCCTCTCCGGACGGGCAGGGCAAGAGGCCATGCTTCAGAGGCCTCTTTCTCTCTCCTTTTGCTTACTCGCTGTCTATGATGATGATACTTATTTCATAAAAATGAATGTGGGAACTTTTGGAGTTTTGTGGCCTACTGTGGAAAAGTATCATGTTTGTCTTTAACTCACTTTTTTAAATTGATAGGCTTTGTGGCATTTCCTTCATAAGTACAGGTGTTTGCAACTTGGATGTTCATAACACGGGGACTGCCTGTATATCCCAGACCCAGGGACTGCCTATACACCCACTCCCCAGGTTAGAACAAGTTCCATCCCTGTGATCATCTTTAAATTGAATTTGTGTGTAAGTTGGATCACAAATATCAAAAGCATATCCAACACTAAAGAACAATTCCATATTCACTCAAACATCTTAAACACTTAATAGTAAAATAATTATAAGTACTAAAAAGAGAATTCAGTTATTGAACGACTAAAGCCTAATGCTTTCCCACTAAGCGATGGCATCTCACCTTTCTCTGATTATTTGCACTATAGTTTGAATTGTGCTTGTGTTTCTTTTCGTCAGGGCATCACCTGTACTTGCATCAGATTTACTCTTTGGAGGCATAGTTACAAACCAAATCAAGTACAAAGTTACAGGAGGTAACACTAACTACAAGTGATCCAAAATACCCTGGTTTGGATACATAAGTTTTTCATGAGCATGAAAAGCTACTGTCACTGCCATGGAACTAGTTCCGACTTTACTGTTCACCACTTTTCCCTCCTTCCTTTTCCTGCCTGCATTCCTCTCCTTGCTGCTCAGCGTCTGCAGGCACCCACTTGCAGTTTGAGGATGAGGCAGGACTTCTGGGTTTGCTTATTCATAAGTAAGTGTTGTTCTTAACTTGGACATTCATAAGGAAGCCCTGCACAAGCTCACTCACTGCATATGCACATACTAAGGAAATGCTTGGTATCCTACCATCCTTACAAACTGGTCATTAAAAGAGAGAGAGAGTGAGTGAACGTGTCATTGACTAAGGCTTAGTACAAACCCAGTTTTCCATATCAAAATGTTGAAGGCAGCATTCAGGCAAATAGATTCTTAGTAGGTTTGAGCAGCAGCAATCTATCATGTGGTGCTTTGCATGCATGTGTCAGAACTAAAGAAGGAAGAGAAAAATGGTGGTGGTAGACACTATATCCCACCTGGTCCTTCACAACATGCTTTGGGGGAAAAACCTGCACAGCCAGATGCTCACCACAAACATATTAATGTCTACTGAGAAGTAAGGCTCATTGCAGTCAGTGTGAATTCCAAGTAAATGTCTAGAGAATTGCAGCCTCAGAGTCCACTGACCTTGATTCCTTTTTGAGCAACAGTATTTATAGAAAGAGAGATTGTTCTGGAGTTGGCTGGCTGGAGCAACAGGCTCAGAGTTAGCATAATTTGTTCTATTAAGTCTGTGCTGACAACAGCTTCCATGAGTCACTCTAGCTCTTTCTTGAGAGAGAAAGAGTGTGTGAGAGAAAGAGTGAGAGAGTGGGGGGGGGGGGGGGATCTAATGTGTCTGTGTGCAGTATACTGCAAAAGGGGAAGTCTGTGCTAGTATTTGAGTTATTTATCACAGAAAATATTTAAGTCTTTTGCTTCCAGGAAAACATGGAACATAATTGCCGCTATGATATACAATGAAAAAAACATTTGTATTATTAAAATACATTGGTTTTTCTGTTTCTATGCACAATTGTTGTGTGTGAGTTCAGTGTTGGGGTAGAGTAGAAGATTGTGGAATGGGAGTTATTGGAAAGGGAAGATGGGCCTGAAGGAGCTTTTGTATGGCTGTGTAATTCCCCTATACCCTAATTTCAGTGTACAATTTTAACATTCATGTACCTCAGTTTTCTATATCAGTAAGATTTTCTGGCTATGAGAGATTTAAACTCTGTTCCACTTCCAGTGATCTGCCCTTTGGTTCTGCCTTTGGTGACCCCTCTGTTCCCTACCAGTCAGATTTGACACCAGCCTAAACTGCTTACAGGTGAAGCACATGAGCATCTTAATGCTGCAAACCTACGCTTGTAAACTCAGGAGTAAGCCCTATTAATCTCAGTGCCACTTGCTTCAGATTGAAACATGCATAGAGATGTGCAGTCCTGGGCAAAAGAAAACCCAAATAGATTCAGAAACAGTTGGGGGAAAAACATGTTTTTTTCTACCCCCCCCCCTTTTTTTCCTGGGCTATCACATCCCTAAACAAGCACAAGACTATGCTATACAACTTTTTTTTCCTTCTTTTTGTTTTTTACATTTCTCATTCTTCACATCACACAAACCCATATTACAGATTTCAAATGGTCACCTTTTCAGGATTCAATTTATGTAACATAGAGGAAACAAAAATAAAATTTACTGTTATGTTTAGACAGTTTTTGAGCACCACCTAGAGTCAGGTTATAGAAATGCAACTAAAGGGAATATGGGCCTGAAGGCGCTTTTGTATGGCTGTGTAATTTCCCTATTTGCACTTGGGTTAACACAAAGAGTATCATAGATTGCAAGTGTGGCCAGACTTGCTCAATGGAAGAGCCACATATGGCAAATGTCAGTTGTTCGAGTGTTGCAAGTGGGCGCCCACATACGAAAGAGCTGCATGTGACTTCCAAGCTTCAGTTTGGCCACCCCTGATTTATTGTATATTTGGAAAAGCCTTGGACTGGGTCTACATTTAACTTTACTGGCAGAAGTGGACTTTTCCACCACCTCCTTCTAACAGCACTCTCCAACTCCCTGAAAAAGCAACACAGGGTGTCAGTAAGCCCTGGTAAATGGATGAGTTTTTGTGGGTGGGGGATCTCAAAAGATAAGATGACAGAACTAGCACAATCCATCCTCTCTCATAAAGTGCCTACCTCTCATGGAAGACAGATACAACCCATAATAAACAGTCTTTTAACATTAAAAGAAGGGGCTATAATTCTGTTCATAGTTTACATTGCTTAAATCCTTTTGACTTCAACTAAACTTTAGCATGTAAACCATAAATTATGGCATACATAATTTTCCATTACAAAAAACAAGTTCGAACAGTTTCAAGCAATTTAGCCACAGAAATATTGGTATTCATAATTAATATGCTAGAAAAAGATGTATCTACAGTCAGTATAATGCAAATAAAATCATGAACATAATCTAAAATGTGTTCAATCAAAGTATATAATCTCTTTACCCCAGAACTTCTTGAGCATTATAAGAACAGACCATGGCGATAGGGCAATTGGTAATCCCCATATGTCTGGCAAACAAAATGCATCTTTACCTGGTGCAAAAAGTATGGCAGTAGGCAGGTATGCACATCATGCTATCCTACTCTGATGGGCTGGTTGTTCTATGAACCATCCATTTTACGTTCAACGGGCAATATGGCTCATCATGTGCTGTTTTCCCTTCCTTCCCCATTGGTCCTTCAGCTGGTATCCCACCTTATCTCCTGTCCCCAAATTCCCTGAGTACCTATTTTTTAAAAAGCCCTACTTCTGACAGCTGTCAGAATCAAGTGACAAAAGAAAGGTGTGTATACACATTTTCTACCTTCCTGAGCACCTAGAGTTTCATAAAACGGTGGAACAGTTGGGGACACTGGTACTGACTGGGAGACACTCAAGCCTGAAAGATCTAGTTGTGAAGGGCAGAGAAAAGGTGCTTACCACCATTTGTGAGCAAAGGTCATTCATTCTTTCACTTTGACTGCACAGCTCACCTTTTGATAGCTTTCATGCAAAGTAAGTTATATGTTTGCAACCTTTCCAGGTCAATGTCCAGAATTAGTATCTGTTGCACTTTAACAGCAACTCTACAAGACAATATCCAGGTGAGGCCTTCCATTTTCACACCTTCAGGATTATAGACTTAGTGCTTGTATAACATTTAATCTACAAATAAATTTAATATACTGGTTAGAATTAAAGTTTTGCACATATTTGGAGCTCAATTTTTTAAAAGTGGCCAACCATCCTGTATGCTGCATATGCCCTTTGAATGGGTTGTCACTGGTAACAACCCAGGAAAGATCATCAAAAGCAGCAACTTCTTTCCTCTGCTTTTGCTAAGCTTCTCACTTGTTGCTTCTTTTTACCCACAGTCAGCCTGGTCACCCAGGTTGTGAAAACAACCCCTAGAACAGCCTTTGGGTTCTCAGTGTGGTTTGCATGAAACGAAGGGAAAAAAAACCCCTACCCTGCAGAAAGCTGTCTGGATTCAGGTGAGATGATGAGCAACTGTGACTCACTGCCCAGAGTATTGTGTTGTGTAAATCAGATCAGTGTCAGCAGTTTCAGGCAAGCTTCCTTGGTGAGAGTGTTCCTCAAATGCAGGCCTATCATAGAGAAAGCCCATTTGCAAATCCCCTCCACTTCTTATTGGAGGGGGCACACAGAGAAGGTCACTGAAGTCAACTTAAGGGATCAGATAGGTTTGTGCATACTTTTTTATGAGGAGCCAGATTGCTTTGGATAACCCTTCCTAGCTTAGTGAACTTCAGCGTCATCAGTCTTTCAGTCAGTGTGATCAGTGGTCAAGAATAATGTTATCTCCAGCCCAAAACATTTAGAGGGTGAGAAGTTCTGAAGTCTGCTTTACATGGATGCATTTTAATGATATTTTTACATATTATTCTTACAATTAACTGTTTTAATCTGCTTAATAGCAAATGGTCTTTGGATAGATTATATACAATTAAGTAAATACAATTCAATATAGATTTTCAAATTCTTAGATATGTTATATAAGAATAGTCATAACATCTGAAAACTATTTTGGTTTCTCTTTCTTTGTACTGTTGCTTAATCATTTCTAGATAAGAATTCCCTTTTACTTTTTAATTAAATCTTCACTGCAACCTGGTCACCAGACTTGTCACCAATTCATTCTATTTTTTGTAGTAAAGGTCAGTATAACTCTTCTCTTTACTGTTACCCCAGCATGCCTTAACAATTATCAGGTTCTGATAATTTAGATGCTTACTTCTTTTATGGCCCTTTTCCAATGAATCATACAAAGAGGGATGATTAAATCACATTTCTGGTAACAGGACCATCTACCCCTGCTGCTGACAGACATAATGCTAACATGGTTGGCTAGCACTTCTCTTGCTACTAAATTGAAGTTGTTGTTCTAGTTTTCTTAATACTCATGTTCTTCTTCTAATCCTGTTTTCATTATAACCACTGTAATTAAGATAATTCATTGGCCAGTAGATCACAATGATCAAATGAAAACTATTACAAGTACACTAGAAAGATTCTAACTGATGATAGAATCCTATCAGTCATTCTCCTCTGTTTCCCTAATGATGGTGGATATTTTTCTGATTTCTTGATCTTCATGATAAACTTCTAATGCAGCTTGAGCCCCCATCTTCTATCTCCTTTTTAAGATGTAGAGTGTTCAAGTCTTGAAAACTATGAGTTAAAATGGTTGCTAATGTTGTATATAATTCCAGCTGTACTCCAGTCATCTGTAATATATTCATGGGAACTCAAGTCAAAATCACATCTTATTAATCTGGCTATACTAGCAAAACATCTATGTGCATATTTTATCACTAATTAAATGGCATGTTAATTAAAATAAAATCGTATTTCCTGCATTTATGTTTTGTATCCACTTGATATAAATTTGATTCTTTTTAAAGATTAAATGAACCATAACAAAGAGTTCTGATATTAAAAGAAAAACACACAGTGTTTCCAAGTCTTGATCATCACAGCCAAATCCCAAGTCTTATAATGCCTACAGCATTTGTATTTATAGTTTCCCATATCTCTTTCTTCAGCCTGGTCTAATAGTGGCAGGAGATTGCTGTTCTTTTCTGTCATGATGTTTCTGGGTTCTACAGGGCTCCATTTTATCTTCTATGCCAGTGATGGCAAACCTTTTACAGACGGAGTGCCCAAACCGCAACCAAGAACCCACTTACTTATTGCAAAGTGCCAAAACTACAATAAACCCTGAAAACTGAGTATTTAGTTTACAAAAAATAATTCACAGCCTGTCCAAGCAAATCCTTGGCAGCACACTGACCGGCCATGCGAAACCTCAGAAGAGTCGTGGCTAATGAGTTGTGGCACATGAAGTCATCGCCTGGTGCTGCTACTCCATTCTGAGCATGCACACAGACCCCATGTGCGCTGTTATCCGATGCTCGGCTTCTGGGATGATGCTGGGGCTACTTGGATTGCATGCCGACAGAGAGGGCTCTGCATGCCCACAACTGCACGCCACAACTGGCCTAACCCCACTCTGGTGCACTCCCCTAACCCTAATATACAGGTAAAGTTTCATTAAAAAGAGGGCAATTTTGAAAAAGCCTTCCTTGAGTAGTTTTTTCTGCACAGCTCATCATTTCTTCCCACTCTAAACACATTCCTACCATCAAAATCATGCCAGGAGTCCTCATTTTTCTAACCTTAACTGTACCCTGGTGTACATCCCTAACCCTAATAAAGGGCTAAAGGTCCATTGAAAGTAACACAATTTGAAAAAGCTTTCCTTGAGTACCTTTTCTTGCACAGCTCATCATTTCTGCCCATTCTAAGCACATTCCAAGCATTGAAAACATGTGTGGACACCACGTTTTTCTAACTCTAACACTACCCTGGTGCCTACCCCTAACTCTAATATAGGGCTATAGCTCCATTGAAAATAACGGAATTTGAAAAAGCTTTCCTTGAGTACCTTTTACCACACAGCTCATCATTTCTACAAATTCTAAACACATTCCAACCATCAAAATCATACCTGGACATATCATTTTTCTAACCCTAACCCTACCCTGGTGCCCACCCCTAACCCTAATATAGGGATAAAGGTCCTTTGAAAATAATGCGATTTTGAAAAAGCCTTCCTTGAGTAGCTTTTTCTGCACAGCTCATCATTTCTGCCCATTCTAAACACATCCCAACCATCAAAATCATGCCTGGACACCTCGTTTTTCTAACCCTAACCCTACCTGGTTGCACACCCCAACCCTAACGCTCGGCTGCTGGGGCGATGCTGGGGCAACTTGGCTCGCATGCCGACAGAGAGGTCTCTGCATGCCCACTGTGGCCCGCGTGCCATAGGTTCGCCACCACTGCTCTATGCTTTTCATTATTAACATGTTACTATGGTGGAAAGTTATATTAGACAATGGTATGCTGAATTGGTGCCTTAACAACGTAATTGACCGGATAAGGGCTAATAAATTAAGACTCAGTAAAACATGATGGAGCTACTGTTGTGCATGGTTTGGGTAGCATTCAACCTGTTCTCTGGGAATGCACTTCCTGAAAAATCAGGCATGCTTGCTGGAGATACTTCTGAATCTTTCATAGTCACTTGAGGCACAGGTGACCCAGGTGGCTAGATGTGCGTTTTACCAGATTGGATTGATATGCCAGTTGCAGCTTTATTTAATTAGTGATCTTTTGGGAAGGTTTTCATGTTTTTGCCAGTTGGATTACAGCAGTGTACTTGGGAATATCTTTGAGCATGGCCTGAAAACTTTGCCTTATTCAAAACAGAGGTGCCAAGTTACTAAATGGTATAGGGTTTATATTTATAGGCTTGTTAATAATAAAACTGTGAAAATTAATGCCTGTTTTAAATGTGCTCCTGTGACCCCACTCTACAGGTATAAAGTTCAAGAGAGGTTAATGATTGACGCATACTCATAACTGAAAGCAAAAAGGGCTTATTTAAAAGACCTTAAGACAAAAGTAAGAATTGGTGCTATGGTAATACTAACAAAATGTAAAAGAAAAAGCAAAGCAGAGTGACTCTGCCAGGAGTGAGTATCGTTTCTTTTCTTGTATAGTTTTAAATTTGAACTTGTTAATTGGAGTAGTTGCCTACCTTGCTCTTTTACTCCCACCTGTTTTTTCTATCCATACCGTCTCTTATGCCATTTGGTACCTCCTTTTCCCAGTGACCCTCTGCCCACATCAATAGAATTGCATTCTAGCTATATGCAAGTACCACAGTTTCAACCACCCATTTGGTTAAAACTGCCAATGAGGGCTGCCAATGTGGATGTCTGTAAAGGGGGATTGTACTAATTTATACTAATTTATGGAAATTAAGTATTAATTTTGATAATGGCTATGTATACCATTTGTGGGAGAACATGATTATAAGGGTGTTGACTCGTGTCCTGCTTATGAGTTTCCTGTGGGCAATTGGTTGGCCACTGTGTGAACAGAATGCTGGACAAGTGAGAATCTTGGTGTGATCCAGCATGGCTCTTCTTACATTCTTATGGATTAGATTTATAACTATTTCTTACTACCAAGTCAGCAAATACTTAGTTCATGTATACTTTTATTCCTCTTTTCCATATCTGTTGTCCTCAGAGCCACTACCTTCTCTTTTTAATTAGTCTCTTTTTACATTAGGCTTTGCATTTATAAGTCCCTAACTTTAGTCAGTTTTAGTAGATCTCAGATACTGGAATTTGTGACCATGGTGCCTTTTGGTTTCCAAGGCCATTTCCAGGTCTAATGCAAAGCAGTCACTTCGTATCCAAAGACAAGCAATTTTGTGTTCAAAGTTTCTTGTGAATTTATCGCAGCAAACCATCAAGAATGATGATCTTTTTAGCACCCAAAACAAATTTGTTGACACCCTGTGAAACTGCCATGAGGATGAAAAAGGGCCTTAGTGCCACAAAATAGACTGAATTATGAAGTGTTTTAAAATCTGTTTCCCCTATACATACTATTAGAACAATAGTAAAAATTCTGCTTTTCAAAACATCTAGTAAAATTTAAATTTGTGCTTTGTTTAGCCTTGATCTGATTTTCCTCTTAGACCTAATTGCCTTACCACACTATCCAGTACCGTGAGTTGGCTGGGTCAGTTAAATAAACTACAGAAGTTAAACCTTGACATTTTTAGCAGAAGCAGCCAGCAAATGATTACATTTACTTGGTGGCACTGGTAAGACTTACAGAAGAAATTGATGTAACTGGTTTATTCTTCTGTCCTTTTGCTTTTACACAGTGCTATAACACAGCTAGAATATGTCACAAAACAGTTGCTAAAAGTACTTCATAGTGATTGATCAGTTGAAATTGTGCAGTAACAAAATACTATGTATTGATAAGAAGAATTAATATTTTCTAAAAATATATAACTAACTATATGTTGAAAATTAACTCATTAGTTTTAAAAGTACACTACCAAATCTTCTGTGCTTAAAACCTGTGTTGCTTCTTCAGAATTATCCTCCTTACTAGCAATGGCTTCAACAGAATTAAAATTAAATTTAAAGGTAAGGTAATTAGAATTTCTGGTGTTTTTTCCCTTAATTGTGGAGATGGAAACTTATGTTTGGGAAACGTTATTGACATTATTCTTCTGCTGTTAAGGTCAAAGTGGAAAAACATAGTGGCATTTATTAAAGTTACTTTAGGAATATAGCTTTGGTTTGGCTTTGTTCCAAGCAAGTTTTTTTTAATTCATTTATTACTTTTTTAAAAGTGTAAACATTGGATTAGGATGCTTTCAGACAAAACTTTTATGGTGCAGCCACCATGCCTTATTCAAGGAATTTTATGAGTGGGATCTTGACAGTGTGTTACTTTACAATTTTTTCCACTACTTCTATAATTTTTGTTATCACAGAAAATCAAGTAAATCTCCTGATTGTGATGTTAGCAGTTTGAAAATATCCAGAGGACCTAGCAGTAAAATCATTGAATGCAATGACACTTACATTTAAGTTGACATAGTAGAGAAAAAAGGCAAAAAAGACACAATGCATTGAGTGGTAGTGCTAAAACCCTCTCCATTTAGATGAACCACTAATTAATTCTAAAAACCAGTATATTATCATTCAGAAATTAACTAGAGTTTATATCACGTTAGGCTACATGCACTGCTAATCAATCAAAATGGGTTAGATTAACATTTCAAGAAAATTGAACTATACATCTACTAAACATTTAAAAAGTGCTAAAATCACTGGTTTGAAAATCACTGAATGTTCTGTTTAATTTTCTATAATTACATTGTTCTCTTGTTCCAGGATGAAGAGATGATTTTCACAGGAGGGTTAAAAACTCTTTTACCACATGCTGTCAGAAAATTAATTCGATTAAGCAAACTCAGCATTAGCAATACTTCTGGAATGGCAGAAGGTAAATGTTTGCATAAAATCTAAATGGGCATATTATTTTGTGTCCATTTAAATTGATACTTTTGAATATGCCTCAGTAAATGTTAGGAAACAGGTTATAATAGAGAAATACTTTAGCTCCCACATATTTGATTTAAAACCCCTTTTCTGCAGGAACGCAATTTACTAAGGTCTTATCACAGAGAATGGCTATGTCTGCACAGAACAGTAAACCATGCTGTAGAGTTATATGCACAAGCAGAAATGAGCTTTCAGTGAGCTCAAACTCTCCTCTTTCCTCCTGTGTGGCTAAGAAGAGGAAGAAACTAGCATTCGGTTTCAGTTTGTCCAAGTCCTGCTATTGTTTCGTGTGAACCAGGAATCATGGTTCCTGGTTCACATGAAACACGAGAGGTCATGTTCCACGAGAGGTCATTGAGGCCCCATCGGTGCGGGTGTTCAAGGATAGGCTGGACGTGCACATGGTGGGCATGTCATGAGCGGAGCCGGCTCGTGCCGGAGGTCAGACTAGATGGCCCAGAAGACCCCTTCTGACTCGCTTTGTTTCTGTGTTTCTATGGAAAGCAAATCAGTGCCTACATTGTTTGGTTTGTTGTTCAGCAGTTGAGTAGAGTAAGGGTTGACAGAATCTACGTACCTTTTAATCTTCATTTTCCTTCCCCATGTGAGCAATAAATGAGTTGGCTGTACATTTGGCCAACACTTACAGGAGCTCATCCAACATCCATTAATAGATATACTTTACCAAGCAAATGTGTATAGTGTCAGAAAATGTATGTTATAAAACCAACATTCTAGAGACAATATCATAAACTGTCAAGGTAAAACATTATTCTTACAAATATGTGTGTTACTAAGTGTGTTTCTTGGTACTGTGGAGTATTTTTATAGTTCTGTATACGGTGAGGTAAATGTTCCTGAATGAGATTGAATTTTTTGTGCCAACTTATTAAGATCCAACTACTTAAGCCTGCTTTCCTAGACCTGTTTTCTTTTGAAAATTCATGAGGCTCATTTATATTCTAAGTAAATTCTCAGTTTAGGGACATTTAAAAGCATGCCAGTGATCAAATGAATAGATTCTTGGCATAGTTTATGCCCCGTGTCTGGAATTTTTTTCAGTAAAGAAGACACGTGGTAAGAACATGAAATTTGGGGTTGTTATGCAAGTAACAGACAAAGAAATACTGTGAATGAACTATGTTGCAGATCTACTTCTGTGTAAAATCTGCAATTAAATGTGTATTTGGGGTAGCAGTTTTGGCCTCCCCACTTTAGTGGGACTAGTTGAATAGTCTTTGCATACTACCTGTTAAATTGTGTTTTGTTTTGAGTTTTTTATTTTAATACTGTATATATATTTGGATTTGTATATGTACCATTCCGGAATCCATGTCCAAATGTAGGTGTGGTCAAGATTATATAAAAATAAACATGTATGATTTTCCGTCAGAACAATATTTTACTTTTAACTAAGAAAAGCATGACACACTGCAATACTTTGTTAAGTATGCAACTTTAGAATTTATAATGCAGTCTTAACCCATGTTTCTCACCCTAGACATCATCATATGTCATCATATTTATTACATGGTCACAAATAATAAGCAAAATTTAAAACAAATTTAAAATGAAAATAATTTAGAACACATAATGAAGACAAAATGCATAACTCACAGAACAACATAACTCACAGAACAACAGCTGTTTTTAAAACCTTAATACAATAACATATTGTATTAATTTAAATTGTTACATTTAAACGTGGCAAATATTGTTATGGAGCTTAACTGCAAAGAATAAACTTTTTGCTACAGGCTATGTCACCCTAGTTTTATTCCTTATACTCTTCATTCCACAAATACAAAAGTTTCATTTAAAAGCATTGGCCTATGATATTTACAAAACACATGTGACTTAATGAGTTAATATAGCACACACGCTAGTTGCTACCATTAAAATTGTGTGTTTAATTTGTTTTCCTTTTTGTCCTCACACTGAAAATTCTCAGATCATTGTACAGGGGAACTTCTAGGCTCTAATTAAGATGTTTAAAATGGGGACATGTATATGAGAAGAGGCATTCTTTCAGGTACCCAGCCTAGTGCTTTAGAACTTTGAGTGGGGAGAGGTAATGTGTGGGGTACCACAGCATTCAAACCTGGGCCCAGTGCTCTTCAACATTTTTATTAATGATTTGGATAAGAAGGCACAAGAAACCTTAACAAATTTGCAGATCATACAAAATTGGATAGAATTGCTAATATCCTGAAACACAAAAGCAAACTTCTGAGTAATCTTGTACTGAAAATAACAGGATGAAATTTAATAGGGACAAACGCCAACTTCTGCACCTAGGAAAAAGAAACCAACTGATACAAGATGGGGAATACTTGGATCAAGTATAGTACAAGTGAGAAGGATCTTGGAATTATTGTAGATCACAAGCTGAGTCAACAGTGTGATGTGATTACAAAAGGGACAAATGCTATTTTGGGCTACATTAATAGAAGTATCACTTCCAAATCATGGGATGTACTCTCTACTCAGTACTGGTAAGACCTTAACTTGAGTATTGCATCCAACTCTGGGCCCCATAATTTAAGAAAAACACAAAGTGGAAAAGTTTCAGAGGAGAGCAACAAAGATGACCAAGGGACTAGAATCAAAGCCCTGTAAGGAGAGACTGAAAAAAATGGGCATGTTTATCCTTGAGAAAACAGGGTAGGCAGGTAGCAGAGGAGACTGGAGGAGTGTGAGTTATTCTGAGACTCCACCAGGCTCCTTACTAGGAACTAGAGTGCACCTCTGCCATGCCTCCCACCATGCATGGGCGATCAGATGTTTAGGGACCCCGAATCCTTAAGGGCTCAAATGATAGGATTGCTCCTTTTACATATTTTTAATAACACTAATCATTTCTCACCTTGATGGTTTAAAGGTTGGTTTAACTGATGACCACTGACTTGGACCGCTTTAAAAGGAGGTTAGACAATTTAAGAGAAATAATTCAATGGCTTGATAGCTATATGCTACTTCCAGTATCAAAGGCAGTATGCTTATGTATCCAAGTTGCCAGGGAACTTGGCAAGAGAGTGCTGTTGCACTGATATCCTACTTGGAGTTTCCCTGTGAGCAGCTGACTGGCCACTGTATGAATAGAATGCTGCACTAGATGGTCTGATCTGGGATGGTGCTTATGTTTTATACTATTTTTTGGAATCCAGTGCTAGTTTATGCTGATTATGTGCTGGGTGTTTTACTGGGTTTTGTCATAAGTTTTAATGCTAGTTATACTGATAAAGTTTTGCATCTATTTTGATGATTGATTTATATGCTTTGAAAACTAGCTAGAGGGTTGCGTTAACAGATGATATACAAATGTCACAAATAATCAATATAGCAAGGTTGACTGCAGCTTCTGTGCATGCCTGACCTGTGTGGCTGCTTCCAGGAGGTAAAGTTGAACCTCATTAAAACAGGAAGAGAGGGAGGGCATTGGAGAGCAACATGTTGTAAAGCATTCAAAAATTAGGCTGAAGATATAAAACAGATTTTTCCAGATATCTCTAGACATTACTTTTTCTAGACATGTCTGATCAAATGGTATCTGATTTTAAGGGCTGAAAAAGTAGATAGGATATCACAATTTTTTTTACATTTATGCCAAAATATAGCCAAACATAATGAACAAATGCTTTCACGTGATAACATGCCTACAGAATGTTATACTTCTGTTTTGTTAATTTTTACAGGATTTAAACAGGCAAATGTTATAATTCTTCACAAATCTCTTGCGGATGACTTCGAAAAATTTTGCCAGGCAAATGATGGCCCACTTCCACTACTGTATAGAGGGAAACCAGGAGAATGGAAATGCCCACCCCTGAGCAATGATTCTGATATTAGGTATATACCAATTTTCACTGTACAGTTATTGTACAGTTGGAGTTCTGCATGTTCATTTTAGTTTGCCACACAGCTCAATGTATTATTGATTCAAATGCATACATTAAGTTTTGGCAGTCTCATTCAGAGGAAAATACACTTGATAGCTTGATCTCTAGAACTGCTTATTGCTTGAGGAAGTGAAAAGTACATGACAACTGTTTTTGCACTCCTTAGAATGGACCAAATCAGCTCTGTTTTCCTGGACTGTCTAAAGTCCAATTCTAAGTCAAAGCTAGTACTATTCTGAAATTATGAATACTTTGATTCACAAAATGGTGAATAATAGAATTGGAGAGTTGAAATGTAACTTGGATCTCATCTAGTCCAATCTGTCCCAATCATGTGCCATCCAGATGTTTTGAACTATAACTCCCATCACTCCCTCCACATTGGCCATGATGGCTGGGGCTGCTGAAGCTCAAAATGTTTGGTGGGCACCAGAAAGTTGTTCTAGGTCACTAATAACAATACAATTCTTACTGATCTTATGTATGCTACTTTGGGAGCTTTGCGGACTGAAAAGTGAGGTAAAATTTCTTTAAAAAAATATTTTTGCAGAACTGACTGTCTGCAGTATAGGAAATATGAGAATGGCATCTGTACAGGTGTTCTGACAAGCCTAAAAGAATATTCTGAACAGCTTAAAGACCTGGTAGCATTTTACTTAGGCTGCAGTTTTACATTTGAAAAGACACTCCAGAAAGTTGATATCCCTGTAAGAAATCTGGAACAGAAATGTAATGTAAGCATGTACAAGGTAAGAATTTATGACTTTATATTATATAGTGGTTCTGTTCTGGTCAAAACAGCAAAACTTGGCACTAAAGAGCATTCTACAATCAGTTGTGTATAGACAAGTGAATAAGTGTATAAAAGATTGCCGTGTACCCCCAGCCTTCCTAGAACAGGAACCATGCAGTGCTGTTTGGAACAAATCCAGGGCAGTATTTTTCTATTTTAAATAGAAGTACTGATTAGGAAACAAAACGGATGTGGTTTTCTTTATCATGGATAAAAGCTGAACATGTGATGTTTAAACATAGGATTGACCCAATGAAAAAGAGGCTGATGAGAGATCTGATTTTAAAAACAAAAGTGGTTGGTGAGTAAGGGAAGTTGAACCCTTCCATGAATAATTGCTACTAATTCCATGACATCCATCTCCATAGGAGTCACTTCTAGTATGAGGCCCCTGCCAAAGTGGTTAGCTGCATGCACAGGAGGAACTACTGTGATTGGATCACCATGCCCTCTCTTTTTAGGTTATTGGGGCAGTTCTATATTTAATCCATAGGAGCTGTAAATAAAACTAATTAAAGCCATTGGAATTAGTTGAAAACAGCTTCCTTAGCTGGGCCAAACAGTACACCTTACTAATATTGTAAGTGCTTTTCATAAGTCAATATGAAAAAAAATTACTAGAAAATCAGTAACATAAACTGAATATATCAGCAGTAGAATAAAAAACAACTCAGAGTAGACTACCTAGCTTCCTAATTCTTCCCCTGAGTTGAACAACAGCCTGCTTCATTTCCTTGTGACCCTCTGTTGTACAGAAGGAATGAGGAAAGGCTTATGGCAGCATTCAGTGAGACTGAAATCAACTGTATGCATTCAACACACTGTACATTGCTTGTTCTTTAATAATTATTGTGAAAAATTGTTCAGAATTTCTACTGAATGTTATGAACGTGTTAAACGTTGGCTTTATAAATTCAACTGTATGTAACATTTTGAAATGAAAATGTCTTCCAATATTTTTAATGCACTGATAATTTTGTTAAACTTTACTAGACTGCTGTGCCTTGCTGTGACACTGAACATTTTCACTGTAATCTAGTTGTAACCATGAGACCTATTCCTAAAGAAAAATTAAAAATGGTTGTGCAAATCACCAATCCAATGAAAAAATCACATGGAGCACCAATTCACGTTGGTAACCCTGGTCAGTGTATTTTTATATTTTGTATATAAAATATAGCGTGTGTGTGCGTGCGTGCGTGCGTGCGTGCGTGCGTGTGTGTGTGAGAGAGAGAGAGAGAGAGAGAGAGAGAGAGAGAGAGATTTATTTACCTAGTATGACCATCCCTTGTGTAAAGGGTGAGTCTGATTTCAAGCTGTAGCCTCCCAAGTTAACATCCCATGGTGAACTCACTTATTGTAAGCCGTCTATTGTAAGAGCTTATTTATTGTAAGCCGTCCTGAGGCATTTTGTAGGGGACAGGTTAGAAAAACTTTTAATAAACAAACTTCCTGACCATCAGGATCAGCTGCCTAGACCATGCCTAGATCAGCTGCATGCAATGGGAAGGAGAAAACAAAGCCACCTCCTAGTGCCTAGCATCCAAACCAGGCCCCTATATCTAGTTCCAATTTGGAAACAATACCTCGTTAATGCACATAAGAAAAGAACTTGGCACATGATCAATAATTTCAGGAATGCTTAAAAAATGAATTCTCCCTATTGTATGTGTTGCCATCATAACAGCAAATGTGTTGTGGCCTAGGAATCCTAATGGTGCACTGAGGGTCTGGGGCTGGAAGCTTCATTTCATTTTTAGTGATTATCCAATAAAAATGGTTCTAGTTTTACAAGAAGTTGAGCAGTAGAAGTAGAAAATAAATATTAATATATGTATTACATAAATTTGTGTGGTAAACAGATATACATATTTAATAACATATATCAAAAGAAAAAAGTAGAGAACTATAAGATGAGAAGCACACGTATATGGCACACAACATGCCAAAACCTGCTTACCTGGGAGTAAGTCCCATGGAATTCAGTGAAACTTATTTCTTAGTACAGGTAGTCCTGGGTTATGAATGCCCAAGTTATGTACAACCCATACTGATAAATATGCAGACTGCCACAAGCCCAAATGAATATCTCTAAGGAAAAGTGGTGAATATTTCTAGGGAACTGTGCAATGCATTTGGTCACACATCATCAGTGGCCACTGTTAGGAAAATTTGGATAAATCCTGTCTGAAAAACATTACTTCTATGTGCTTTTTCCATTGTGGGATCAAATCCTGTCTTCCTTCTCAAAACCAAGCTGTCACTGTTTAAAATGGCATTCCCCCACTCCTTTCTCTCACCTTTAGCTGTAAGCTACAGTACACAGGCCCTTTAGTCCAAATTTACATTGTATACCTTCACAGTGATTAAACAGTCATTGTTGGAATTCAGTTTACAAGGAAGTATCTTTTGATAGCCCAGAGGCTCCATGTGCCCTGGCAAATTCAGAATGTCTAGAGTAGATAACAGTCTTGAGTTCAGTATAGTTCCAGTAGCTTGAATTTACATGTCTAAGTAGACCTGGAGATGGGTTCAAGCTACTGAACTAAAGTGTCAATACAGGCAATTAGAAATATTGTAATCTCATTGTTACTGTGTGATTGATTGACATTTCTTTATCTGTTCTGTATGTGATGACCTCAGAATCTTATTGTAATCTCTGCATTCTGTCATCAATTGCCCTGTACCTGTATACCTATAAATGCCCTATAATGGTATTGAAGCTTTGCAGCAGAGTTCACCTCTGCCTGCACGGTAATGCATTATCGTGAGTGTACTGCGGGAACCTGGGTAAAACAATAAGGCCTCAGATGATCTGGACGCTTGATCTTTCCCACGAACCCGAGTTTTATTCCCTCTTCTCAAACTGAGATTCCGGGATTCTGACACCACATAGTTCCCTGGTGATATTCATGGCTTTTTGCTAGAGATAGTAATGGAAATCCATTTTTTTAGACCAAATGGTTTCACCTTTTTCAAGGAGCTCTTCAGTATCCCAGGCAGCATGTTTGTGCCCCCTTCCACATAAGCATTGTGCTCCATTAGACACTGGAAGCTCAACAAATGCTCAGCCAGCTCTGCCCCTGTACATGAACCCACTGAGACTAATTCACCATAGATTACAGTGTTTTGAATGTAATAGGAAACACTGGGCTATATTGCCCTAACAGTCCATTATCAGAGAACTTCAGAAGATAATGAGGGACTGGTTAGTAACTTTTAAAGATTCAAGTTATTTTCTGTTGGGCATACATTAAAATTAAAGATGGACAGACAATGAAGCTCAAACATGGATTAAACCAGGCATAAGAGGCACGTTACAGCATTTTAAAAAAATACTGTATGCACACATACAAATTCTCTCTCTCTGTCCAGTACCTGTAGTTACTTTATTACTGCATTATTATTACAATGCTGTATTGTGTTTAATATGTATTAGTTAATATGGAAGTGTTTCTTAAGTGTTTTATGTGCATAGAAAGGTAAAATAAGTACATATACTAAGACAGACATTTGGCTTCCTTATGTGATTCAAGTTACATACAAATTCGACTTAAGTATGTTCTCAGGAATGCAACTCCATCTGTAACACAGGGACTACCTCTACAGGCGAGCAATCTTCAAAAAGTTTCTGCACTTTTATATTTTATAAATATATTTTATATATTTTTTCTTATGGCATTAAAGTTGGTATGACACTGGGAAAATGCATTGCAAAGGAAGGTGACTATGTAGAAAAGTGATGTAATTTGTTTTTGAAATTCTTAATAAATAGAATTTTTAAAAGCGTGGAAACTTTTTGAAGGACCCTTGTATATATGGGATTTCTCTTATTATTTGCTATTTTACAACAATAATTCAGTGTCATTGACTTACTAACATTAATTCTTTGTTTCTGCTACAGTACTAATTTGATCATATCATTTCAATCACAGTTTTGTTAGGAATCCAAGATCTTTCCAGTCCAGACTACGGTGACACAGTGCACGCTCACCCTGGGGATGTTCCAGTCTTCTGGGCCTGTGGGGTGACAGGGATAGAGGCTGTCAGCAATTGCAGTATGTAAATAGTAAGATTTTTAGATTTTTATTAAAATGTAAATAACACAAAGACCCAAAAAAATTACTGGACACTTTTGTTCTCCTTTGAAGTCCATACAGTGTCCTACTGACTTTGACCTAAATTTACAGAAAACCTTTCAAGAAGAATATAGCCTCCTTGCACACACATGAATATGTGTATACATAGGTCAGTATAATGCTGCTGCAGAAGTAGAAGAGCTGTTCTCTCATAGTGTCTTCCTTCAACAGCTTCCTTAAATACCTTTTCTTAACTTAATAAAAATTATCTAGATTAATAACGATCTTGCTTCAAGCCTGGTTTGGGAGCAAAGACAGCTTTGTTGTTTTAATGAATATTGAGCACTGAAACTGGCAAAGGGAGCTCATCTTTGGTTTTGATGGACTGCTCCATGATGTCCAATGCCGTCAGCAATGGCATCCTTCTGGATTGTCTGAACAGAACATTTTTGGTGGCTCAGGTCTTTTCTGAATGGTTATTTTTAGAACTTGCTTCAATATCTTAGCAGTTAGTCAGCTAAGTCCTTTGTACCTTTATTGTGACCCCCCTCCTGCTGAACATCTACCCTGAGAGTGCTAGGATTCCTTCAGGGATCCAGAGTGTCTTGAAATCAATGGTTATGCAGATGTCACACAACTCTATTTCTTTTTATTTGATTCCAGGGAGGCTATTGATGCCCTGAACTAGTGCATAGGAGTGGTAATAAGCTGGATGGAACAAGCTAGTAAAATGATGCTTGCTCACTTATTTATTTATTTGACTTATATTCCAATTAAATTAATCCAAAGGGCTATACAAGCGGATTACAGAAAAATAGTCCCAAGGACTCTCTGGGTGGATTATTCTAGACAAATCAGAGGAGCTCTTGCTCTGGAAAGAGACAAATTCTGGAACTATTTAAGATGTGGTAGCACTTCACTTGAAAAATCAGGTTTGTAGTCTGGACTACTCCTGCATCCATGGTTGCATCTGGGCATCCAGTGGTTGTTGTAGCCAGCAGTGCCTTTACTTGACTTAGGCTGGTGCACAAGCCGAGTTCATTCCTGAGATCACTGAAACACTACTCTTCAAGAGTCTATAGAAATTTTAAATCGGTTTGACATGCATTAATACTAGTGGATACTTGTTTATGGGAACATACTGCATGAATCTGGAAATATCTGTTTCATTTCCAGAGAAAAAAATCAAAACATTGGTGGCTACCTTTAATAAATTAAAGGTACTCAATATTTTGGGTCATATATATCTAAGAACTAATTCTTCCCATACCAATTCTCTCACCCAAGATCTGCCAAAGAGGCACTTCTGTGTGCCCCTTTTGCTTGGAACGCAAAAGAGGACCTTTTCTGTGCCCATGCCAAGTTTGTGAAAATCTTGCCACAAGAGATTCATTTGGCCCCCTCTCTCTGTTTTTCACCACATGCTTAATACTTTTATTTCAACAGGCATTTGATCATCAATTCTTTTGCAACAAGCCCCTATTTCAGTTGAATTTATCTGCTGCACCTAAGCCATCACTAATATTGTTGACATTCAATGCACATCATGCTGAGAGTAAGTCCTGTTGGGCTGCTGCTTAAACAGCATGCATAGAATTGTATCGAAAGAGCATTCATAATATTATTGAGAGTATTAAGATAACCTTCAGAGTCTTTTCTCTAGGTTCTCCTGCCATCATAAATGAGGCACGTATCAACTGCAAGTAGCATCTTTTCAGGTGCGGCACCCTCTCTTGAAACTCTCTACCCAGGAAGACTTTTCTGGTATCAAATCTGTTTTATTTTCAGCATCAAAGTTCATTTACTTGCCCAGGGCTTTTAAATCTTTTGATCTGTATTTATTTTAACATGGGGATTTTGTTTGATCTCTGCTTTTGGATTTTTTTTTTTTCAGCTGAAAAGTAGGATAGGCATATTTGCATTAAAAAACCATGAGGGTAAATTAGTATGTCCCCCATCTCACAGAACATCTGTTGCAAACAATCAATTTAACTTCCTCCTAGAATGGCCATTTTACAGTCATTTTATTAATACAAAGGAAATACAAAGCAGGTAAGTAAATTTTAATATGCTGAAATGGTTGCCCTGTGTGTTTGGTTTCAGTTTTTACAGTTAATGACAGAACTCACAAGCAATGCAGGCTGTGCCTGAAGCTCAGCTGCAGGGATTTTAGGTGCTGAGGTAGCCACAGCCTCATCCCTGTTAGTGATAATGCTTGATTTTGTTGAATGTTCTGGAACACAAGAGTAGGTAAAAGCACAGTGCTTATTTTTGCAATGTTGGACAGCTTGTTCCTTGCATTCTCTCTTGGGATCGAGCATGACTTGATCTTAATTGTATGAATACAATCAATGTGCATGGTCTTGCTATGTAAATTACTACTTAGGGGAAGCCTTGGGAGAGATGATTTAAAAGTTCCCTTTCCACTTCCTAAAGTTGTGACAGGCTATTTGCATTTGAAGGGAAGCCCCAGAGGTGCCAGTTTTCTATATAGTTTGACTCTCAGTGCTGCTTAATTTTGTCTTAATATATTCCTGGGACACTTCTCGATTTTCCTTTGCAAAGTTTCATCTTTAACACATCCCTTGAAGAATTGTACTATAGACTCATTTGGATACAGAAATGATTTCCTAGAACTGTCCTGTCCTGTCAGTCTTATTTATATTCTGTGCTGTTTAGTAGCCTTGCCCAGCTAGAACAATTGGTCAGGTTCAGACAATCATGGGAAAAAGAAGCGATGGCAGCAGGTATGTGCTCTGTGATTTGCCTAATTACCTTTGCAGTGTACAGCTTGCCATATAATCCAGATGCAGTGAGGTGCACAGTAGGAGATGGCTTTGATGCCACTCCAAAATAAGCTAGGGTTCTGGGCTGCTTCCAGGGCCATCAATGCTGCACACCTCATCAAGCTGAAACAACACAGCAAGTTGTTCACCTCCAGGATAATTAGGGTGAATACTCAAATCGTATGGTACATGCCCAGAAGATGCAGGAGGAGACAAAAGAAATCAATGATCGTCCAAACCTGACCACCGACTGCTGTGATTCCTTAGTGCATTTCTAGTATATTTCAATAGCAATAGACAGCCATTTTCAATCACCATTTTCATTGTTTTGCTTTGTACTACAGTTGCAATAACTCAGCTCAAGTATTTAAATTTCACTGAAATCAAAACTTCTGAAAAATTCTGTAAGAATCTTGTCGCAGAAAACAGCTTCCTTGAATTTCTTACATCAATTTATAGTGCACTAATACTCCAAACTTATTTCCCCAGATGATATCAGTTTGTGCTAGAAAACATGGTGTTTAGATTTTATTTTGTAGTTTAATCCAAGGTTAATTTCATTTTCCATTTTTCCTTCATGAACCATTCATTTCTCCTTATATACAAACTAGATATTAGATGTTTGAAAGGGACCCTGCATATTTCTAGAGATGGACTTTCTGGAAATGAAAGCAATATTGACTATAGGAAGTATTTCCAGAAATCCACAATAGATTGCTTAATTCCTGGCCTGCATAGAAATAATAGTCTGGTAAAGGTCGATTCTCCTGACTAGAGGTACAGCCAGACAACTCTGCCTCATGGCTAAAAACAGGATGCCCAGCAGATGTTGTGGCAAGTCAGTTTGTACTGCTACAGCTGTTCTGGTTAATAGGATCAGCCTGTTGGTATCCTGTCTATCCCATTCTATCCATATTCTTGCCTGTTCAGTCCCACTGCAGATCTAATAAACAAAAATGGAAGAAACGAAGAACTCACTTTGCACTAATCTAAGTTACTTGTAATGTAATATGGGAAGGGGAAAAAGTGGCATAGAAAAAATTATTTTCCCCTTCCCTTTCTTTCTTTCTGCTTTGCTCCATATCTGCTGACTCTAAAATATGTCCATAGTTACTACAGTGAGGAGACACTCCCATTCACCCCAGAAAATAAGCTAAAACATATTTTCATACACATGGAAGTATAGCATCACTAAAACATTTGCAGCCTGCCTTAGCATCCCTGATTTAAGAAGCCAGGTGTTGTGTGTGTTTTTCTATACCACCCATTGAAACTTTCCTTCCTTCCTTCTTCCTTCCTTCAGAGTCTCCACTGGCTTTCACCCATTCTCCAGGTTGCATGTTCATCACTGATTTGAAAGATGAGGATGCTGCATGTGATAAAGAACTCCCTGAAGTCTACTGTATTGGTCAGAATCCTTTGCATTACAGCATCACATCAGCAGCAGCTGTACAAAAAATCAGATGCCTAGAAGAAATGATAGGAGTAGACCCAGGTAAAAACAGAGAGAGAAAAAGATTCTTATTCTGAAACAAACTTTCTTATTTAATAAGTTGTCCTGCTACATTATTATTGCAGCAATTATTGTCCTGAGATAATTCTATCAAAGGGGAAACAAAGGCACTAAAAAGTGTCCTCTAGTCCAGGCAGTGTGAATGAATCCGTTTCCAAAATAATGCTCATGCATTTTGAAAGATCCAGGAATACTTACGTAGTTTCTAGCCATTAGACTGATTATTACCAATATAAGTCAGTATCATTGAGTGAGTTATGTTAGCCAGATTCCTAAATTACTTGGTAATGCATATGCTTCATTATTACTGCCTCTGCTTTCCTTGAAACTTTCTGAAGGACATGGGTGAGCCATGGAATCCTCAGCATTCAGTATAAATCAGAAGAAAGTAAGAGGAAAGCCAAGGTGAACAACTGTAGCCACCCAACTAGTTATATTGTGCTATATGCAAGAAGAAACGGTTGGCACAGCAGCACTGGTTTTGTTCTCTTCCCTGCATCCTGTTAGTATGAACCACTGCATTTGTTAGTATGAGTTTATGGATTACCATTCAGCATGGATTAGTGCTTATTTGACAAGTACAGGTGAATTCCCACATAGACATGTTAAGTAATGCAAAGTAATCTCCTCAGGAAAGATCTTAATCAGTAAACATTCCCTCTCTATTTAGGGAATAGAGGTGTGAAACATCTGTGTACTGAGAATGAACTTCTGAAGGCATGCCTGTCCATTTCTCATGCCCAATCAGTATTGATTACTACTGGTTTTCCTACGCACTTTCAATACGAGCCGCCTGAAGAGAATGATGGGCCTCCGGGGGCCATTGCAATGGTTGCTATATTAAAGGCCTTGGGGAAAAACGTTGTTATAGTAACTGATCAAAGAGCTCTAGGTTTGAATAAAAAGATTATCAAGGAAGCTGTTGAACAAGGTATGGTATGGCCTTCTGTTTTTGTAACACATATTAAAATGTGAAATAATGGTGAAAAAAATCCAAACTAAAAGGGGAAACTGTGAGCATGAAAGTCAAAACCCAACTGACTTTTCTTCCTTCCAATAAGGTTCCACTTGAGAGAAGGCATTTTATGCAATTCTGTTGCATTTTTATGAGGTATGACTCTCATTGGATAATGAAGCAGAATTGCCTGCCTTAGCAGGAGGTGCCCTAAATTCTATATAGGCATAAAGTTATGGTTCATCCAGTTACTGGGTCAGGCTGCTCTATAATTTGAAATCTATAAAACATCAGAGATGGTGACAAATTGTAGAAATGGGGAAATCTAAAGCAGTTTAGAATCCTTAAACCCATTAAGAACCAAACCAAAATCATCTGATACTTGAGTCCGGTTCATGCCACCAACTAGCTCACCATCCCAGTCCCCACCAAACACTCTCTCCCAAGAAAACATATCATGCAAAGGAGAAGGAAACCAACATCAGGAAGGGCTGACTGGTGATGAGAAAAAGCTTGAAAGCTCGTTAAGGCTTTGGAGCTCCTGAGCATGCTTGGAGGGTCTGTTACTACTGATGTACATCAGAATTGTAGTTTCCAAAGCCTTCCAGCCCATATCATTTATGTGGATCAAATCCTTTTAGAAACTACCATTCCTGTGCACCTTGGTGATAACTGACACTGCTGAGCATGATAAGTGGTCTCAAACATGACATCTAAAATACCTTTCTGTTGCCAATGGTATTAACTCCCCCTTCCATAGGGATGTTTGAGAATGGAGGGCCTGGTATGGGGGCTAGGGGCAAACTCTTAGAAATTCCCTGAGTTTCCTGAGGAAACTTGGGAAAACTGACTTGATTCATAAACTAAATAGAGATGGAAACTCATCTTTAATTTCTTTGTCAAATTATTCAGTCTAATCACCTTGTGAATTTTTTCACTCCTACAAGTGGATGTGGAGTGCAACTGAGAATTTTGGAAATTTTAAAATGTAAATTACTTACTGAGTATTTTAAGATGTTACAGGGGCACCATTTTCAACAGTTTCACCAAGTATCCCCACATGTAATGTTTAGGCCCAGTTTACTGATATTGCTTACTGATATCGGTTAAATACTTAAGATATCGTACAATCTAATCATCCCATGTGATTAGAGCATACCCTAGGTACAGTAAAATCTGTAAGACATACAATAGCTTAGTTTTGCCTTGATCACACCCTTAGTGAGAATGCAAAGAAATTAAAACATGTTTGTATATTAAGGGCTCAGTGCTATGGGGGTGCCTCTAAACCTCCAAATCCAGAGGCTTATGGGCATCCAGTGCAGAGCAGAATGAACAGAGGCAATCTTTACTTCCCTGCTTCTTATGTTCTGCATATCTGCTGGCCGTTTTCATACATGTAGTAAGGGTGTTTTGCCAGAAGAGGAAAGGAGACTGGAACAGCTCTTGGATATCTCACATCCTGACTACTCCCTTTATTTACTCCATTTCTTGACCTTGGAAAGCAACTGCTGCAGTTTATCCCACATCACTCAAAAAGAGAGCAAGGGAGGAAGATCTGATTCCCAGGTCAGAGTACTATCTCCAGCCTTGGAGTTGAGATCTGGAACCATATTATGGCCCCCAAGATAGTATCTAGGCAGCATAGGATTGTTCCGTAATCATACTATTATGCAGGAGGGTGGGATCCCAAAAGTTTTTCAGCATGTAGCATACCACTTTTATGTTTCAAGATGATAAACTGATCTGCTGTTAAAATGTAAAATGTGCAGGGAAATACTGTCATTTTGTGTGATCCTATCTTTTTCTTTTATACTGAATAAATTATTGAATGTATATTCTATTTCCATATACTCTAGGGATACTACAGATGCCAGTCCCTGTAATTAGCTACCATAGGGATTCTGCAGATGCAGCCTTGCGATTTTTATGTGAAGATGGGAATAAAGAAAAGCCCCGGTATGTTACCAAAAAAAAAAAAAAAGCTAAACAATGCCAAACTTTTCATTTCATGGCTGTCTCAGCTTTTCTATCAGTGCAGGTAGATGGAGAGCACAAAGGACTGAGTGGGAAAGCAAGAAAAGAAGCAAGTGATTGAAAGAAAATATGTCCTATTTGCTGGCAAATAATTTTATTCAGGGCCTGGGGATAAGAGATAAATTGCATTCTGTTGCCATGATCAGGGGACAGATTACAGAACTGATTTGGTATGGGAGCTAAAAGCCAGGGAAGGGAAGAAACTGGAAAAATGAGAAGAGTGGTGGAAACTTTCTATTGTTTTAGAATAACCTGTCATAAATAATAATAAGCTTAGCTTACTCCTACATATGCATATGTGCTTCCAATATTATGACAATTTGAAAACTAGATGGACATTTGTCAAATCCTTCACAGTCCATGATGTGAAATGTAAGAAGTGTGTTCATTGGCTTTCAGATCTGTTCACATTTATACAATGTGTCATTCAGTGACATTCAAGAGCAATATTAGATGAAAGTTAGAACATAGAAGAGTCATCAAACCAGTGCCCACAGAGTCCCACAAGAAGGGTATGAATGCAACAGCACCCTCTCGCCCAAGTTCACAGCAACTTGGTATGCATAGGCATACTGCCTCTGTTACTGGAGGTAGCATTTAGCCATCAGGATTAGCACCCATTGATAGCTTTCTGCTCTGTCCAATCCTTTTTGAAGCCATTTGAATTGCCACCATCACTACATCTAATGGAAGTGATCCCCATAGTTCAACTGTGTGCTGAAGTGCTTTTCTTTGTTCTGATTCTCCCACAAATCAGCTTCATTTGATTATCTACTGCTACGGAAGAGAGAGAAAATGCATCCGTATCCACTTTCTCCACACTGCATAATTCTGTACACCTCTGCCATGTTTGCTCTTACCCTTATTCAAAACCAATCAATCTCAGCTGTTATAACCTTTCCTCATAGGGGAGTTGTTACAACCACTTGGTCCTTTTTAAGGTGTAGCAGCCAGAACTGTACACAGCATTGTAAGTGAGGTCAGACTACAGATTTGCAAAAGGACAGCATGACATTGGCAGGTTTTTTTTCAGTGCCTATTCTTCTAATTTAAAGAGATTCATTTGGATTTAACAATCCTAAATAGTTTAGTTGGTGTCAGCAGCAAATTTGGCCATTTCTCCGCTCAGCTGAAAAGCATCATCCTAGTACAGATCCCTGTAGGGGCCTCATTGTCTGTCTCCCTCCATCAGGAGAAGTTACCATTTATTTCCACTCTCTGTTTTTTGTTCTTTAACCAGTTACTGATCCATAAGAGGACTTCCCCTCTTATACTGTGCAGTATCAGCTCTGAATTTTGAAGCCATATATTTCTGCTTTAACTAGATTTAATCATCTGATAGCAATAGAGCGTGCTGGAATGGCTGCTGATGGCAATTATTATAATGCAAGGAAAATTAACATTAAACATTTAGTGGATCCCATTGATGAACTCTTTCTAACTGCACAAACTATCCCAGGAATTACTACAACAGGTAAGTGACATTACATTTTCCATTGGCCTACAAATATGATATTACTATAACATACCTGCTGGGGAATGGAGATTGGTTTCTCCTATGCAAGGTTAGGAGCTATGTGCTCTTTGCATAGGTAACACAATTGGTGAGGCATCACGGTCATACTTCAAGTTTATTAAGTTGCTGGTCAGGAAATGCCAAGCTACCTTAGATCAAGTCTTCAGGATCATTCAGATATCAAAATATACTGTATTAGTCAATTCTTTCCTGATGTTCCATGTCCCTGAACACAGAGGTTCTTTGAAGTCACTTTTCCAGAATAGGCTGCCTTCTAAATTTAATTAGTCATGGGTAAGTAGCATTTACCAGGCTCAAATAGAAGCCGAAAAGAATGAAATATAGAAATGTTATACTGATATATTTTTAAAATAAAATAATTTTCCATTGTACAGTTTTTTCTGACTTGTCATATGCATTTCTTTCTTTGGTGTTTTAATCAAGTTGCTAAATAAGTGCAGCAAAGGCTGTATCCCACTCCTACTTAGACATTTGTGTGTAATCAAGCATAGTAGATATCAACATGGATGATGATAATTACATTTATACCTCACCTTTCCTCCTCTTGCATGAAGCCCAAGGTGGCTTTCAAGGTTCTCTTCCTCTCCATTTCATTCCCACACCCTGTGAAGTTGGTTAGTCTCAGAGTCTGTGAATGGCCCAGAGTCACCCAGTAAATGTCATGGTTGAATGGGGACTAGAAACTGAATCATCCAAGTCTTGGTTCAAGAGTTCAACTGCTACCCCGTGCTGGAGTTTCTGATATTATTAATCCCTTACAACATTTAAGATGTTTTACAAACCATTGCCTTCCATTGTTCTTATTCAGTATTAGAATGATAGGATTTGCAGTCCAACACAACTAGAGGGTACCAGTTTGAGGAAGGCAGCCTTAGCTTTTTGTGTTACCACTGGGAGAAGTTCAGTGCTATAACAAAATGAATTATGTGCAAAACAGTCAAAAATTGGTGAAATAGGAATTCATGCTGGTCAATGCAGATGTGCTAGACTGTAACTTCCATGATACTTAGCCAGCATGACCATTTTTATACTAGTGTGGGATGATGGGAGCTGTAATCAAGTGTGAATAGGATTACAGTCGTAACTTCACAGAATATACAACTACTAAAATTTACCTTCCGCATTAAGATTCAGTTCTATCCAATTTTGAAATGTGTGCCAGGTTGCACACAGGATTTTTCATGGTGCGCACATCTGGAGTGTGCAAGGTTGGAGAAGTCTGAACCAATGAATCCTTAAGTGACTATTACTAAGTTCTCTCATATCGCTCAAGAAATACCATCACTTTATTATGGATATTTTGGAAGGAAATAAAGATTATGTATTATGTGCATCTGTATACTCTCTCCCTCTCTCTCTCTCTTTCCCCCTCTTCCCCCCTCCCACACAAATTGTGACTTCTTACATGTTGTACTACTATATCTAAAAGAGAACTTTTGAGCAGATGGCGCAAATAAACAAGTGTTGTTTAACAGTATTAGTAAAGCTAAATTAGGCTGTGAAGAAACTGAATACCCACATTCTGTCTGCATTATGAACTTGACCATAATTCTAAACAACTGGGTGATAAAAAGGGAAACATAACAGAAGCAGAAGCAAAATCTAGGATATATGCTGAAAAGGATTACCTATTTACCAGTAATTTAAAGTGCAGTCCCAAGTATGTCTCCTTTGGAATATGCCCATTAAATTCAGTGGTACTTAATCCCAGACAAGTATGAATAGGATTGCGGTCTGAACCTCATAGGATATACAAGCACTAAAATTTACTTTCCACATTAATATTCAGTTCTATCCAATTTTGAAAAAGTGTGCACCATGATTTTTTACAGTTCTTTTACCTACTATCAGCTTGCTGGGCTTTTTGAGTTCTTAGGTGCTCCTTCTTTTGAAAAGTGACACATGGATCCATACTTTGGAAAACTAGGATCTATCTTCCATTTTGGATACCTTTTTGTAATCATAGCTTCTGTTAAGTTAAGATGTAACATGGGTATGCTTTTATTCCCTAATGGTGATGATGATGATTTTATTGCTATCATATTGTGTTTTTAATTATTTATATAGTCCTTAATATGGTTTTATTGTCTGTGACTTGCCCAGGAAGCCATGTGTCTAATGGGGAGGGCTAAAAATCTAAAAAAAAAATATCTCGAATGAGAAAACAGAACAGGGGCCAAGCTTGCACAAAGGAGATGCAAGCAAACCAATTTTTTTTAAAAAAAGAGTTGCCACTGACAACATCAAGGCTAATGGGGTGGCATAAAAATCAAATAAATAAATAACAATAAAAATTATTTAAATGTATCAAAAGTAAGAGACCAGCTAGAAAAGTAGCTGTACCATTGAATGATTATGGAGTCCAAAGAGTATACAGCAGAATAAGGAGAATGTGGAGAAGCTGAATGAATGCTTTTAATCAGTCTTCATTGCAGAAGAGAGAAACAGAGCGAGTCAGAAGGGGTCTCCCGTACCATCCAGTCCAACCCCCAGCTCCAGCCGGCTCCGCTCATGACATGCCCACCATGTGCATGTCTAGCCTATCCTTGAACATCCTCACCGATGGGGCCTCAGCCACCTCCCGTGGAAGCCCATTCCATAGCCTCAGGTCCTAACTTTCAGGAAGTACTTTCTGGCATCTAAATTAAACCTTGGTTCCCTGAGCTTCGCTCCATTGGACAAGATGTAGGACAGACACTGTGTCTGAGCTGATGATTTCAGGAAGGGTGTCTCAAGACTCACGAAGAACTCAAACCAATAGTGAGACAAAAGATGAAGTTCTCAAGCCTACTGACTGATTGAAATTTAGTCAGTCAGCAAGTCCAGATGCTATCCATTCTAGAGTTCTAACTTAAATGCACTGTTACTGATCTTCCAGCAAAAATATATAAAAGGGGATTGGGCAATTTCATGGAAGAAAGTGCTCTCACTGGCTATGAGTCTTGATGGCTGTATGCTACCTCCAGATCAGAGACAGTAGGCTTATATACACCAGCTGCCAGGGAACCTGGGTGTGATTCTATCAAGCAGCATTTATGTCCTGCTTGTTGGAATAGATGAACCATTGGTCTGATCCAGCATGGCTGTTCTTATGGTCATAATATCATTCATATATTGTTTGAAGATTAACTTTCTGAACATATTGCTAGCAGTCAGTCTTGCTTTGTAGCAAACCTTTAGAGTATGTTCCTGTGCATGTTTAGACAGAAAAAATGTCTGTCCTTGTTCATTTCATGAACAGTTTATATTTTTTAACATAATATATCCATACCTTGTTCATTTTAATTTAGGCATTGGGGATGGAGGAAATGAATTGGGAATGGGAAAAATGAAAGAAGCTGTAAAGAAATACATTAAACATGGAGAAGTCATAGCATGTGATGTGGAAGCTGATTTTGCAGTTGTTGCGGGTAAGCTAAGAATATGCTAAATTAAGCATCTGTATGAAAATGGATCATTTGTGCAGAAGATTATTTTTCTTGTTCATTATCTGTTATTCCAAAAAGAAACTTCTGGGTATAATATTGTTGGGTTTTTCCTTGAGCCAGTGATACTTATGGGCAGGAAAGTTCAACTTCTTCTCATCTCACAGCCATCCTACCGTAGTATTCATTGAGCCTTATCTTGCTTCAGTCTCTTGTTTCTGTTTGCTTTAGCAAAGCCACATGTAATAGTGTCCCATGAAAGGACTTTTGTAGCATTGAAGGAGACATAAGTAGTGACTCATGTAATGACTTTAATGACTCATATTTGAGACAGTCATTAAAGGTAATATCAAGGACAGCGTCCAATGTCCCATGTGACAGCAGGACCAACTAATAACATGGTAGGGAGTTAATTGTTGTAAAAGCAACCTGAAGCAAGCAGAATGCAGCAGGTCAGTGGAATTTGCAAAAGGGAGTTCCACTGGCCTTGCTGATCAGGAAACAAGTGTCTCCTTGGTTGCTTTCAGAACCCTTAATCCCTTTTCAGAACCCCATTGCTCAAACAGTTGGCCTGACTGGTTCAACACAATCTTCAGAAGTGCAGCAGCCCCATTAGATACTGCTTGGACTGCTTACACAATGGAACATTTGCCTCTCTTCCCGCATCCCATGCCCTCACATCTACTCAACCATCTGGAGCAGATTTTGAAGTTCTAGGGGGAGCTATAGGTGGAGGGCGAATCTGTTCCTTCACTGATGGAATGAATTCCATTAGTAGAAGAAACTCAATTGATCCCACCCTTTGTTTTTTTACAAATCAACTTAGTGTTATGAGTAATTGGAAAAGAGATTTACAGTGCAATTCTAGCATATCTACTCAGATGTAAACCCCATTGAATTCAGTAGGCTTTACTCTCAGCTAGGGTTCACCTTACCATGAAAGTTCTCGGATTACCAACTCTCATTAATAAGACTGCCTTGAATTTAATGTTGCTTCTGATGCTACACTTCCATATTTGAGATTTTAAAACATTACATGTATTTTAAATACATGTAATGAAATGAGCAAAAAATATCTGGCTGCTTTTTAAAGATTAAATTAAGACATCAGAAACAGCCTAAAAGAAGTTCCTGCAGTTCTCATATTCGTATCTGGCCCTTGTGACATTTTTCATCAGTTTTGGATGCTTCCTTGACCATGTTTATGAAATGTAATATTAGAAACAGGTCCAAGCTTTGATTGTTCTAACCAGTGTTTGTAAAATGTGTGGCTAGAAATATAGAAGTTAAATGTTACACTACAGCTGGGGTCCACAAAGTATTTGAGTCAGTTTAATCTGTTACTTCATGAACTAATCAAACCATAGTTCACTGTTACATCCATGCTAGCACCCTGGAGAGCAGGCTGTCCAAACCAGGATTGAAAACCATTCTGGGAATGATGGTGAAGAAATGATGCACTTTCTAAATTTCCTATCATACAGGGGTCAGTAGCATGAAATTCCTCCTGGAAAAGCACTGGAAAGTTAATGCTGTTGATGATTACTTAAAAACTGTACAGACCTTTCAGTTAGTGCTATGTTTACTGGCACTTTTCTCTTACAGGGGTTTCTAACTGGGGAGGCTACGCAGTTGCATGTGCGCTGTATATCCTCAATACATGTGAAATACATGACCGCTACCTCAGAAAAGCTGTTGGATTTCCCAGGTTCTCCAAGAAAGCAGGATGGGCATCAGCTCTACCTTCTGTGGCTAAGGTATTTTCTTGGAAGAAAGCTCAGAAAGATTGTCCTGCGATACCGATATTTCCTACCTAGCTTGCAGTGTCTAATCTAATCCAAAGCCATGCAAGTCATCACAGCTGAGTGATTGTGGATAGCCGTGGGAAAATAGTAATCTCACTATAACATTCTCTCTAAAGATTCTAAGATTTATATGTAACTAGAAACCAGTTATATTAGCAATAAATAACATGTTGTTTTTAAAAGATAATTATATAGATGATGAAGCTCAAAGGCCACAAGGTAGCTTTTTAGATTAGAGAGTGCAAAATAATAATGATGACAATCCAAGTCCATCTAAAAGATAGGCTCAACCTGCCTATACAATCTAGTGTGCAACTAACAAGAAAAGATAGGCTTTTAACCCAAACTGTACATTGCAAGGAAGGGCTAAATTAAAAGACTGCTACCTCATCTGACACAAGTAAAAGTTCCATCTTACCCCAATAGGCAATGAGGCAGACTTTGAGTTTCACTGAAACTCATCCCAAGGAAATATAATTTGTGCATCTTTATACAAGGTTTTAACTATTCTTTTAAATATTGTAAGCCATCCTGAGATCTTGTATAATAGGACGGCATACAAAAGCAATACGTGCATGCATGCATGCATGCATGCATACATACATACATACAAGGTGCTGCTTGAAATTGTTTCTCTAGCTGTACGAATCTTTTATTATATTTATATATTTACTATATTTTGACCCAGTAGCCAAAGCTATTACACTGTAATATGGCATGTGAACAGGAGTATGGCTGGGAGGAAGGTGAATATAGATTTTAACCTGGCACCATAAACTTACTTGTTGGTGGAGTGTGTGCAGTGTTGATGAAATGCACTGAAATTAACAAGAATTAGAGGATGGACTCTTCAACTCAGCAGTTCCCAGAGCCTTCATGAAGCCTTGGAGTAGTGCTGAAGACTAGCAATGTTCATTTTAATTAACCTTTAGTAAAACTACCTGAGACTGATGCTGTGATTCAGTGCCACATGATGATACATTGTCCCATCTGTATGTAGCCCCATCCTCAGCTGAGTGGTTGTCTGGATCTCTTCAAACATTTCATCTCTGGTCCTACACCTTGTCTTCAAACAGACCTTAGAAATTACACAATGGTATTTCTTGATTACTTCACTCCTGGATGTCCCAAGGAAGAACTTTAGTAGTTATGCCTTCTTTGAATACTTAACACTGAAATTATTGTGTCAAGTTTCTACACTGTAAACAACATTATGATGAAAGCTCTTCTAAATACTAACTCAGTGAGAGATTGTGCAGAAACAGTTTCATGCAAATTGATTCCCAAGGTACAAAACATGATATTTAGATAGTGGAAAAACACTTGAAAATTTCAGTGTAGTCTTATGGTTAATCAGAAGAAAAAAATAAAATTCCTCTGTGAGGATCTACTTTTACTAGGAATTTCAGCAATAAACAATGAATTAGTTTTCTTCAATTTCAACACTACCTTCTTTTCAGGTGCAATAGTCCTTCTAAAGAGGAAAAAACATACAGTTTGTATATTAAAAGCCTTATTTCCAAACTGACGGATTTTTCCCCTATTCTGACCAAATGCCCAATTAAATTTTTACTACCTTTCTCAGTCTCCATGCTTAAAATGGTTCCTACATTTTGGTAGCATATCCTGAACACTATCTAATTAAATTAATTGGCCTGGTCTTAAGTAAATGAGTTGACTATTAACTCTAAATCCTAATTCTGAACACCAAAACTTATATGCAACTACCTGTCACTATTCGAAAGACTACTCTGGGTGACTTGTCATTCTCAGAACTCTCATGGATTAAAACAAGAGTAGGCAAACAGAATTGCACACTAGAATCAGATTTGGGATAGTTTATAGTACCAAATCATTTTACTCAAACCATTTTATTAAAGTGGGCCTACTAAGTCTCACTAGCTTTGTGCTTTGCTTGGTTTTGCTAAGATTAACATATTATCCCATTGTATTCTTCAGTGTTACACTGACCTGTATCAATGTCTTATCCTCTGGTTTGTACTATGGTTGCGTTCTGGAACACATGCTGCTTCTGCAATTGTTACTTCATAAATTAGGTTTGTTTAATCACAAAGTCATGCCCCACCCATCTCAACCCCATGGACAACATTCCTCCAGGTTCTCCTGTCCTCCACCATCCCTTGGAGTCCACCCAAGCCCACATTCACTGCCCCAGTGACTCCATCTAGCCACCTCATCTTCTGCCGTCCCCTTCTCCTTTTGCCATCAATCGTTCCCAGCATCAGGTCTTCTCCAGTGAGTTGTTCCTTCTCATTAGATGGCCAAAGTATTTGAGTTTCATCTTCAGTATCTGTCCTTCTAAAGAGCAGTCAGGGCTGATTTTCTTTAAGATTGACTGGATTGATCTCTTTGCAGTCCAAGAGACTCTTAGGAGTCTTCTCAAAGGCCTCAGTTCTTTGGCACTCGGCCTTCCTTGTGGTCCAACTTTCACAGCCATATATTGCAACTGGGAAAACCATAGCCTTGACTATACACACTTTTGTCAGCAGAGTGATGTCTCTGCTTCTTAGTATGCTGTTTAGATTTGCCATAGCTTTCCTCCCAAGGAACAAGCACCTTTTAATTTCTTGGCTTCAGTCACCATCTGCAGTGATCTTGGAACCCAATAACTTTTTAAATCATAAATTATAAATAATGTTATTTGCCTGTTGTTAACAAGGGGAATTTTGAGAGAAAGATTTAAACTGTGATGTGCTGGGGAAATCCATTTACCCATCCATAAGCTTCTGTATAGCCTGAAGTGCTTGATCCTGCCTAACCTTGAGAGCTAAGCAGGGTTAAGCCTAGTTAGAATCCGTATGGGAGATGTGAGTCCTGCATTGAGGAGGGGGTTGGACCCAATGGCCTTCTAGGGCCCTTCCAACTGTATGATTCTATAATCATTTCTGTCTTGAGATAACTCTGCTGTTTTGCCACCAATGTCTATGAAATAAATTGACTGAAATCTTGAATATATGAATAATGTGGTTTTGATTCAGAATCTCTGTTTGATGGATATATTGACAGTGCTATCCAATTTATTGTCTAGGAGGAAAAGTTGCTGAAGATATTACAGCAGAACCAAGTCCGTAGTGGAAAAACCGCCAGTCTGGCAATGGAAGTGGATGGTCTACCATTCTATGATGTTCATTCAGCTATACTTGAGAAGCTCCTGGCAGAAACTCTGAAGTAAACCTTTCTTCCGACATTACAAGGAGTGATCAAATGGTCATTTTAAAATCAGGTCTATATAAAATTGTGAGGTTGGCTGCCCTCCTATCAGCAAATCTTTAATTACTGCTAAGTCTACCCAGTGATTTTGTGGCTGGGTAGAAAAAAATATTCAGTAATCATGCTATCAATTCATACATAAATTATTGAGTCTGTAATTATATGATACATTACTGGATCAATGTCAGTGGAGGATAATAGTCTTTTAGAATTCTGCCTTTTCATACTGTTTCCATAAAATACATTTGTATGGATATCTGCCTTTATCATGTTTCACAACAAATGTTTCTCTGATTTAGACACAATCCATCTGGGCCACATCCACTAAATCCTACATTAAAGCTAGAATTTGGACTGTAGCTGCTCGGTCTGCTTTTTAAAAACTTCAAGTACAAGCTCACCCACTTGGGTCTCAGGGATGCAAGCCAGGTCACCCTTCCCCCCAATCCACAATCAATAGATGAGGGATGTCTTATTCTGGGCTGACCTGGAAGCAGCAGCAGCGCCAGACCTAAGGGGAAGTTGGTAAGGCTGCCAGAAATCATCCTGTTGAGGGGGAAAACAGAAGAAGTAATAGCTGTGGGGTATTTAACCCCTCTTCGTATCTGGCTTGATGATCTCCCAGTGCCATACCTCCCCAGTGTTACCCAGACACATAATTAAAGGAATGTAGTAGAAGAAGGAGGAGATGTGGAGGGGCAGCAGAGAAGAAACTATAAAAGAGAGTCAAAAGTAAGTATGTTTCACTCGAGACCAAAGCCAATAATATTGACACTATTGTATTCCCAATCGCCATGTATTGAATGTGAAAGCTGGTACATGAAGAAGCTGACAGGAAGAAAATTGATGACTTCAAATCATGGTGCTGGAGGACTGACAGAATATCATGCAAATATCATGGACTGACATAAAGACAAACAAGAGGCAACCTAAATCAAATCAAACAAGAATTTTCCCTAGATGCAAAAATGATAGAAATGAGACTGTTGTGCTTTGGGCACATCGTGAGAAGGCTTGGCTTTCTGGAGAAGATAATTATTCCAGGGAAAGTAGAAGCAGAAGAAGAAAAGAAAGGCCAAATATGAGATGGCTTAACTCAAGTCAAATAAAGAAATAATATAGGAAGCCACCATCTTGAAATTTACAAGAGCTGAACAAGGCTATCATGGATAGGACATTTTGGAGAGTGCAAAACAAAAACAAAACCCTACCACAGCCCACCCCACCAGCTTATTTTAACTTACAGCACTTACTTCCCTTGACTGACCTTAGCGAAGGCTTTTGGAGGGGGGCGGACTGCACAGAAAGGCATGGAAATCAATTATTTGATGGTTGGGGGAAAGGGATGGGCCCAGAGGAAGGGAGCATGGCCTTTTGGAAAATTGGGGTGGGGGGTCAGCTTGGGATCTGTATTTGGTCTGAACATCCAGTTTACAGTATTTATTCTTCAATATTAATCCTTCCCAAGAATAGCTAGAAGAGATAAGAATGCCTTCTTAAATGAAGAGTGCAAAGAAATAGAAGAAAACAATAGAATAGGGAGGACCAGAGATCTCTTCAAGAAAATTGGAGATATGAAGGGAACGTTTCATGCAAAGATGAGCGTGATAAAGGACCAAAATGGCAGGGACCTAACAAAGGCAGAAGAGATTAAGAAGAGGTGGCAAGATTACACAGAAGAACTATACAAGAAAGAGCTTAATGTCCCTGAAAACCACGATGGGATGGTCACTGACCTCGAGCCAGACATCCTGGAATGTGAAGTCAAATGGGCCTTAGGAAGTCTGAGCGACAACAAAGCTAGTGGAGGTGACAATATTCCAACTGAGCTATTTAAAATCTTAAAAGACGATGCAGTAAAAGTGCTACACTCAATATGCCAGCAAATTTGGAAAACTCAGCAGTGGCCACAGGATTGGAAAAGGTCAGTTTACATTCCGATCCCAAGGAAGGTCAATGCCAAAGAATGTTCAAATTACCGCACCATTGCACTCATTTCACATGCCAGCAAAGTTATGCTCAAAATCCTACAAGCTAGGCTCCAGCAGTATGTGGACCGAGAACTACCAGAAGTACAGGCAGGATTTCAGAGAGGGAGAGGAACTAGAGATCAAACTGCCAACATACGCTGGATCATGGACAAAGCTAGGGAGTTCCAGAAAAACGTCTACTTCTGCTTCATTGACTATGCTAAAGTCTTTGATTGTGTGGATCACAACAAATTGTGGGAAGTGCTTAAAGAGATGGGAATACCAGACCATCTTATTTGTCTCTTGAGAAACCTATATGTGGGTCTGCAAAGCGATCAAACGGGTCAGTCCTAGAGGAGTTCAACCCTGACTACTCTTTAGAAGGCCAGATACTGAAGATGAAACTCAAATACTTTGGTCACCTAATGAGAAGGAAGGACTCCCTGGAGAAGATCCTAATGCTGGAAACAATAGATGACAAAAGAAGACGGGGATGGCAGAGAATGAGGTGGCTGGATGGAGTCACTGAAGTAGTTGGTGTGAGCTTAGGTGGACTTTGAGGGGATGGTGGAGGACAGGAGGGCCTGGAGGAATGTTGTCCATGGGATCGAGATGGGTCAGACACGACTTCACGACTAACAACAACAATCCTTTAAGACTTTTACTCACCTTCCTGCTTGGATCTTATCTTATCAGTACTTTAAGCAATCATAGTACGGGTCAGATCCTACCATAGAAGAGCTCCTTCCATCCACACCTGAGGCTCTGGATGAAGGAAAGGTAAACCAATTTTTATCAGTTCCTATCATCCACAGTCTCCAGTTCTGCCTCTCATACATCCTGAGCTGCCAGAGCATAGCAGCTTTTCAGGGGTGCAAGAAGGTTACAGGCAGAAAGAGGAATCAGCAAAAATCACCTACCTTAGTTCCCTCTCCTATGGAGCTTGCTGTGGATGCGATTTCCACCACAGATAGTGTATAATTTAGCACATAATTGTGAGAATGCTTAACAAACTACATTTGTAGGGAATAGTAGTGATGGCTCTCAAGAACTGTTACAGTTTCACACTTTTTTTGTTTTTGTTCATTTGTTTTTGCTTTTTCTCCAACTGAAATATTTCTACTGTCCTAAACAGATGTTTTCCTGATTTTTGTGAATTTGGTGTTATAGAAAGAATTTTCATGAATTAAAGGTAAAGGTAAAGGTTTCCCCTTGACGTTAAGTCGAGTCATGCCTGACTCTAGGGGGCGGTGCTCATCTCCGTTTCCTAGCCGAGGGAGCCAGCGTTTGTCTGCAAACAGTCTCCATGGTCATGTGGCCGGCATGACTAAACACCGAAGTGCACGGAATGCTGTTACCTGCCCACCGAAGTGGTACCTTTCTATCTACTTGCATTTGCATGTTTTTGAACTGCACGGTTGGCAGGAGCTGGGACAGAGCAATAGGAACTCACCCCATTGTACAGATTCGAACCGGCGACCTTTCGATGTACCAGCCCAGCAGCACAGCGGTTTAAACCACTGCACCACCTGCAGTCCCCTTTTCATGAATTAGACTTACAATAAATTACTATTTCAATCATGTTTTTGTTGTTACGGCCATTTTCTTAAGCAATAAGAAAGAATATGAATGGGCCCTTAGGATGACCATGCATTTCTGGGGAAATAGGTAACAAGGGAATGTTTAAGTCCCACTATGTATTCCTTGTGTGTGCTAAAGGCAATTGATACTAGGATGTATGTGTTCCTGTGCATTAAGGGAAATGTATAATTGTCAAAACACTCTATGACAGTTCATTGATCTTACTATTCCAAAAGCCTTTCTGTGAGGCAGAAAACTTAGGCGTTTTGGAGTAGTGCTGATCCATTTCTGTAACACTGTTTTTTGGAACATTCCTCTGCTTTGGTTAGACTTATGGAAGGAAAATACATTCATTTGTATGACACTGTATAATTGTATAAATACTCTCAACTTTCAAGACCTGTTCAAATGAAAATTGCATTACTAATCTCATTAAATTTTATTAAATTTATATCCAGCCTTTTCACTACTTACAGCACTCACTAACAATAAATGTTAAAATCCATAATCATAATTAAAACAGAAGAGCAGATAAAAGCAAGAAGAATAAAAGTAGATTGGGTCCAATCTATCGGTTGGACCCAATGGCCCTTTTGGTCCTTTCCAAGTCTACTATTCTATGAACAGTTGAAACCTGATTTTTAAGCTGACTTGCCTGATGAACAGCTATTTGAATAAAATATATAGATGCCTTCCAGTAGAAGGACATCATCGATGGAGCTAGTCTGTCCTTCCTTGGAAAGGAGTTCTGGAGAGCTGGAGGAGACACTGACAAGGCAGCTTCTTACATTTTGGACAGATGTGCCTCTAGTAGTGGCAAGACAAAAAGAATCACCACTTTAACCTCAGAAGGGCTAAAATGGGAGAATGTAATATTCCAAGGGCAACCAGAAGAATCATAACTAATTTAATGAGCCGTTTGCAAATTCACTTTAATACTGTATATACTTAAACATGCTTGTCTTAAGCTCTCTGAGTCCTCCCATCTTTGAGCTCTCTGAGTCCAAGCAGACCCAATGACAAAGCATCAGCCCACAAGTGAGTTAAACAGGGTGAAAAGAGAGTAAGTGCTGCTTCTGATCTCCTTATCTGTATTTATATTAACAGGTAATCATCCCAAACTCATTGGTTATTAGTTGAGGTAGGATAAGAGCATAGCAAGGGGGCAAAATCTCTGAAGGGTAATGCCTTGCAAACAAATTTCAGAGGGGAACTTGCTGCCTTGCTCAGGACTAGCTCTATAGTGGCAAGAGCCATTGTGCAATGGAAGAAAGCTAGTGGAAGAGATTGCTTATGAACATAAATTGAAGTCTAGCTTTTGTTGGGCTCAATGTACCCTCCGGGTTTTAGGACTGTAGAGATGCTCATAAACTAAAGCTCAGAAACAAGAGTTTTCCCAAGCTTGAGAGTGCAGGTTGTTGTTATATGCCATCATGTCTTATTAGGGACTTAAGGTGAGCCTATGTATGCAAACTCTCCAAAACACGCTATCCCTGACGGCCTTGTTCAGCATTTGTACATTCAAGGTAGTGGCTTCTGTTATGTAGTCAATCCAGGTTATTACTTATCTTTAAATCACACACAAAGGAATTCAGCCTTCCAGACATCCCTTCACAAATCAACTACCCTTTGTCTATTGTCCCCTCCAGTCACTATGGTGCTGCCCACTGAGTAGCCAGGGGGGACAATTTGGACAATTAAGAAATAGCACACATTCCCAATCACTGAAAGCCAGGACAGACCAGCAATATCATTATTTGCTTTTCAAACAAGGTCCTTCAGTCAGCTGGTTTATGGCAGCGGTTGGACCAACCCACCTAGAACAATATGAGAAGACAGACTTGTGAGCCAGCTCTGTGGGTTGAAAGCACCCCAGTGATGAAATGTCCCAGCCTCAGTGATAAAGCATCAGACCTTAAACGAGTTCAGCAACAAGACAAGGAGGTCACTGCAGAGAATTCTACCATCCCTTCTCCTTGACAGGAAGTGCAATAAGTAAAAGTAGATCTACTGCCTTCTTCCAATAAATGAAGATTTTTTTTTAAACTAGGTTTTCCAGGTGAAAAAGAACCCTCATCATACCAATTAAATCCAGTTATAATGGTAGAAAGTCATTATAGCAGGGGTATGGGGGCTATCTAGTGTGCTACATGTATGACTGCCAACTAGATAGAACTCGTGGGTGTGTGCTTGGTGTAATGAGCTCATAGTCCTCAGGGATCGAGTTTGTTCCCTGGAGGCCAAGGTTGCTAACCTGAGGTTGCAAGAGAGGCAAAGAGGTTGGTTGACAAGACCCTTGGAAACCAACTAGCAGGATCCCAACCCCCTGGATTACAGCTCCTCTGCTGTCATGGAAAATGAACTCTAAGGTAGGGAGGGTGTCATTCTGAGGAAAAGGGAAATGATCTGTTAGAAGGGGCCCATTCCTTGGAAGGTAAGCAATTAACCTCTGGCACTGAAGATAAGTCTCCTAGAGGCAGAGTTCTTCTGGTAGTGGGAGATGTGATCATTAGACACATAGATGGCTTTGCAATGGGTATCAGATATCACGTCAGCAAATGTACGTGCCATAGCATCTTAGTCATTTCCATGTCACAGACTGACTGTAAAGGTTTGTTTTCACCCCTACTATGACCATTTCAATCAAAGAATGTTGGCCCATAAGTGGGCCCTGAGTAAGGGTGATGTACAATAGAGAAAGAACTACAAGTGAGCCAAATAAAACTGGGACTGAGAGATAACTAAATCTTAGATATTTGGCCCAAAGTAGAACATCACTACACAAAATGTCTTAGTAAAATGATCTAATAAAGTAGGATATAATTAATGTTGGCAACGTATTCTCACTTATTGCAACATTCAGGTTTTCATTCTTTCAAATAGTAATATCTTTAGGAACATAACAAAATACAACTTGATTTCCCACTACCTTTTGCTTTAGACACCAATCAAATACTTTATGCAACTGTTATCATTCTCTGCTTTAGTTGTTGAAATCCACAGTAATCCTTATTTAACCATGACTTAAGCTGTAGCATTTCAGTGTGGGTGACAATTTACAAAGAGCACTAGAGCTTGTTTGGAAGATTGTAAATTGTGCATAAGTGCTCACAAGCAATTGATATGAGAGAATATGTGCATGGTTTAAGGAACCAAGTTTTGTTCTGAATTTTTCAATTATTTTATTTTAATTAATTAACAATATTCAGCTCATAATACTATTTTCCTTGGTTTGTCAAAAGAGAGGAGGGAGTATCTTTCTGCATTAATAAAGACTGCTTGTTTTTCTTTTATAGTAGAAGTAAACTAAACCATTTTAGACATTTTAAGTACAGATTGTTAGATAAGATGCACCATACACAAACATATTCTTTACAATGAGCCCCGCACTTCAGCTTTATATTAAATTATCACAAAATGTAACACTTTGGTTATCTTCATAGAGAGCAGTTATAGGACCCATAGGCAGCAGTCTGACTTTGGACTTGGGAAGCAGAACTCTGCCCTCCCTGCAGACACACACATAACACCCTTCACAAACAGTACAAAAATAGCCATGCTGGCTGTTCCCTGGGGTCAAGAAAGAGGTGAAAAGGTGGCATTTCACGGGGAGTGGAAATGCCGGCAAGGCCACATGACCTGATTTCTCTCAAGCCTCCTTCCCTCCCCTTCCAAGATGTTCCAGCTGGACAGGCTTTCCAGCAGAAAATGTAGGAGAGAAGGACCGGGAGGCAAAGAGCCTGCTCTGTATCGGATGCCGATAAGCCTCCGAATTCAGGGGCTGATCGCCATTATCATAGGATTGCATCCTAAGTAACCTTCATTACTTCCAGGCTACTTAAAATAAATGCAGAACATCAATATTTTTATTTGCCCAAGTCCTGTCATTAAACAGAATAGCTGATTTTCCATGACTGGAAATACACTGTGTAAGCAATGTGCGTAGGATGCATAATAAAGGGCAAAGGGCAACCTGTTTTTATATAATTATACTCATATATGTGTGTGTGTGTGTGTGTGTGTGTGTGTGTGTGTGTGTGTGTGTATATATATATATATATATATATAATTATACCCTGTATGCTAGTAAAGCTCTGAATGATATTAAAGGAACTAAGGAATTCCCCATGTGGAAAAAAGAATATCTGCGTAGCAGATTGTATTTTTAAATTATAGGCCCTTTTTACAGCCTAAAGGGGAAGTTAACGAACATGTGCATGGAGACTTTACATCACTTTAGGAAAAGTGTCAATTGATGTTTCTTTCATTTCATCAACAGGTAATTTATTTAATGATTCTGGATCTAGGTCATCTAGGTCCCTGATTTTTTTGACAGCTTTTGGAGTACTCAGTGGGTAGGATTCCTGGGTTTCTACCTCAACACATCTTAGGCACTTTAAACAGGCATTTCTCAGCTTGGCAAAATCCTGGTAGGTGTTTTCACTGGAAAAGCAATAGAGTATTGGATCTGCAACACAGTTAAAAGTGGTCAACAAAAGAGAAATATGGTAGATGTTAAAGATATTGGCAGCAAATTCACAGCTATTCTCAAAGAGACTGCGTGTCAACAATAGAATATGATATGGTCCAAAGCAAACCAAAAAAATGAAAATTGTGCTTGAAACCAGGCGTTTAATCTGAATCTTCTTCTTTTTCTGAGTGCCATGACTCTTGCGAACAACTTGCAGGATGCCACAGTAAGAAAAAAGCAGCAGACAAAATGGAAATAGGAAACCAGCAGAGAAGCGGTAAAAGTTTATGTTGTTTTCCCATTTTTTTATGGGATAATGCTCAAAGCACACCACATGGCTCTCTGAGTCTTTACTCACTTCGCCATGTGTAAAAACAGCCCAGCATGTCAAAATTTCCTTGGTCCAAATTACGACGCTCACTGCTGCAGCAGCTTTCATTGTCCGACACTGATAGAAGCGAAAAGGGTAGACCACAGCCAGGTAACGGTCAACGGAGATACAGCAGAGGAATGCCACACTAATGTAGATATTTTCATAAAGGAGGATGCCGCAGATCTTGCATAAGAGTTCATCATAGGTCCAGTTGTCATGCTGTAAAACATACTGGAGCCAAAAGGGCAGAGAGAAAATGTAAAGCAGGTCTGCTATGGTCAGGTTGCAAAGATAGATTCCCAGTTCGTTCTTGACCTTAACCTGCAAATAGGCATAGTAGAGTGAGAGGCAGTTGGCTGGGAGTCCTACTATAAAGACAAGTATGTATACCACGGGTGATAACGTCTGATGAATGCTATGGTCAATGGTACAGTTCAGAGTATTTTTGACCCCTGAAATGTTCTCCATGTCCAGCAACCCTAGAAGTCCTAGCTGCTATTCATGATTTTAATATTTGGCCATTTTATTATTTCTCATTTTATTCATACTGGTGTCACTGCTTGTAAATACCTGCAGAGAAAAAAAAAAAGATCATGAAATGTTTCATCGAATGCAATCCACCAAGACAAAGCACATTTTTAATGAAGATTTTTATTAAGATTTTAAACTAAAAACTAAAAAACATCAATCATCAAATACATCGAACGTACTGGGTCAGCCCCCTATAACATATCTTTTTAACATTCTATAATCATATTCAAATCGATTTATAAAAATTTAAAAAACATCTTTAAATCTAAGCCAAGTCCCATTTCTCCAGCCAATCATAAAAAAGGTCCCAACTTTGATAGAAGTCAATATCTTCTTTCTCCTTCAGTAATAGAGTCAATCTGTCCATTTCTGCACAGTCCAGAATCTTTTTTAAAATCATTTCCTCAGTGGGTAGTTCCTTACTCTTCCAGTATTGAGCAAGCGCAATCCTCGCCGCTGTGATTAAATGTAGCATCAAATACATTTCTTGTTTGCTAATATTTTCTGGTATAATGCCTAACAAGAAAATTTCAGGTTTAAAAGCTAAGAGTTTTTGTAGCATTTTCTCAAGCCATTTATGTATTTTAATCCAATACTTTTTCACATATTCAGGTCCACCACATATGGTAAAAAGTACCCACATCATGTTTACATTTCCAACATCCATTTGACATATTTGGAAACAGCTAATCGACTTGGCGACTATAAAACATTTTATATAAATTTTATTTATACAAAGTTGCTGAAGTTACCTAATATTTCTCTCCCATAACTTTTGCCACTTTTCTAATTCAATATTAAATCCAAAATTTTGTGCTCATATTATCATAGTTTCCTGACAAAGCACATTTTTTATACCCATATCTAATTCTGCCATATTAAGGCTGCAGTTTTAGTGGCAAGTGTGCAATGTGCAGCTCTTCAGCTGTGAATATAGTGGCATAAAATGGCAGGCAAGTCCATTGTAAGTTACTAGCAGAAGCTCCATAACAAACCAAGAGAAATAACATCCTCTAGTTTCCTAGCAAAGATGCACTTCATGTTGCCCTACAGGTATAGAACCTCTGTGGAAGGCCTCTGTATGTTCAGCCAGCATCACCTACAAGGAGCTTGAGATGGAGGGAGGGAGGGAGGGAGGGCTGTCTGGCTTACCTGGAAGTAAAGACTTTTGTTCAGGGAGATAAAACAAAAAGATCAAACAAGGAAATATTTCTCTAGGAGCTTTCCTTCCTTTTTCAGCACATCTGAGAGCAAGATGGTGAGCTCATAGGTTCACTGTCTAAAATTCCAGTGATGGGAAATTAAAGTTAGGAGTAAAGGTTCTACATAACTTCATCTCCTGTCAATACATTCATATACTAGCACATTTTAATACCAGGGTACCTACAGATCTAGAGCAGTGTTTTACAAACTGCACAACACAATAACGGTTTTCACTTCTCCACCATATTCTGACTAGAGCCTTTATAAATGATGGGAACCCTATGCACATGTATCTGTGAGAAAGCTCCACAGTGGGACTTTCACAGAATGTGTGGTAAGCCTCACAGCCATCCTATAACATGAGAATATATTGCTAATATTTTTCAAGCATACAGTGTTTTTTGCTTTCTGTTCACTTTTCAGTCTTTTTGTTCTACTCTGCTTATGTACAATCTAAGTTAAGTCACTATTATTCCCATTTTGCAAGTGTGGAACTGAAGCTAAAAAATGCTGATTTCCTAGAGTCACACAATTCATAGCCGAACAGCTGCTTTCAAAAAATAGTCTAGATGCAAGTCTGGATGGCCCAAACTGTTTCTAAAAGAAATCAAATCACATATAGCCAGACTGTGGCTAACTCTACCAGTTAACAGGGCTAATCTGAACCAAAGTTTACAATTGTACCTCATTTGGCTGTTATGTTCTCAGATCATGCAAAAGAACTGTATCTAAGGTATTCTCATATTATGCTTTAGTTGTGGGCATGGCTTCTAGGGACTGTTCCAGCAATGCCAAAGGATGAAGCAGAATCTAGCTCTAATCCAGCAAAAATAATTCTGATCAAGTTCTGTTAATTTCAGCCAGTCTAAGTCCAGCTGCATTCAACTGGCTCCATCTATTTCAATAGGTTGTTTAGGACAAACATTTTCTGTACCAGGATCACAGTGTCTCATATGGTTTGTTCCTGGAAAGGAAAACAAAAAAGCAGATGGTGTGAAAGTAAGTAGAAGCTTTCTTTGTCTTGTGGGTTCCAGGAAAGAACTTTTAAAAACTGCCCCTGTGTTTCTTAAACTGTGGGTTGAAACCATCAGTAGCGCTCAGCCAAACTCCAGGTGGGTTCGGTGCTGCAGAATGTGCAGGAATGACCTGGTTCCACAGCCATTCCATGCGCCCTGGAAAGGCAGAGGAGGTTAGAGAACAAAAAAAGGGGGGATAATAGTATAATAGGGAGTAGCAGCAGGGGGGAGGAATGAAAGGAACTCACATCTGAGGATAGGGTGTGAGGTAAATGTGAAAAAAGAAGGAGCAGAGAAATGACACAAGAAGAGTAAGAAAACTGTGGGCTTTCAGTCCTCTCCAGGGAGCCATGGAGGAAAAGGGTTTAAGAAGCCTGCTTCCATTCTATGCAGCATGGTATGTAGCTTTCATGAATAGAAACAGCTGCACATTTGGCATTTGAATCCATCCTAACATTTCGCCAAATAATGATACAATTGCATACCCTTCCCCCCCCCCCCCGCAAAAAAAAAAAGTCAGGAACAGCTAAGCTATTCTGAAAACTACAGATTTAAACACTGCTGCAATATTTTAACTGCAACATAAACAATGGATTAATTAGTCATCAATGTATAATTTCCCCTTAAATCAGACACATGTTACTCATTACATCAACTGGAAGACTAAACTTATTTGCACTTGGAATTTCCCTTGTATGTTAGGCTTCCTTTTCCTAGATACTCTGTTATTCATATGAAAATTCTGACCGTACTTTGTAAGCTAATACATTTGTCTACATTGCAACATGTTGCAACATGTTGCCCTTTGGATGTTGTGGCCTTGCCAATGCTAAGGGATGTTGCAGAATGCAGGCCAGAACATCTGGAGGGCCACAAACTCCTTACATCTGATCTACACTTTCTAGAAGCATATAAAACATGTTTAGGGCACAGCTCTGTAGTACAACTCTATTGATCATTCCTGTCTCCTTTACTTTCTTCCAAACTGTTTTGAATGGATAATTCTTGAACACAGCCAAATCAAACTCCCCCTTAAATCAAAGGTTGTCATCCACATCCAACTAAAGGTATCGTAAAAACCCTCTTGGTTTTAACTGAACTGGCATACAACCTAAAAGGACAAAGATTATAGACATTCAGAGACACTGACATGATCACACCACACTCTCCAAACTAAAGAAACAAGATCATGACTGCTAATTAGATTAAATGGCACTGTGTGACCAACATAGATATAGGAACATAAAGACAGAGAAGGAAGAAAGAAAATTGCATTGAGAAGCATGAGCCAACGACTATTTAAATATTTTGCCCAACCATGTTAAATTTGTTTCTTTCCAAGCAAATATTGGCATTAGAGAGTATTTAGTAGTTCAGTGGGCTTTAGGTGGGCTTCAGTATTCCAGTTCTCCCCATCAGCAGTGACGTTCACTGCATAATATTGGGCCAGTCAGCCCCATCCAACCTAATCTATTTCTCAGGGTTGTTGTGAGGATAAAATAGGTAAGGGGTGAACCACATTGTAGATACTATTAAAGAGAATGTGCCAATATTCTTTTACTATTTTCTCTATTGATAATTTCAATCACTCCTCCAAATGAAAACGTTATTGAAATTTTTAAAAGATGCTTATAGTGTCAGAGAAAAGGTTCTTTAGGAACTCAAATGTTACTACACACAAATTTCAAGGCTGAATGCAATATTCCCAACTACCATGTGCAATTGAATAACCAATGTTATACAGGAAATAAACTGAATTGAGAACTCAGCACAAGCCAAGAACAACTGAATCACCTCAGCAAAAAACAATATGGACAACTCATTGCATAATAACAAACCTATTTTAATATAAGAAGCGTGAATACTGTACAAGGAAATGTTTACAAGTCCTCAGAAAATGTTTGAAATGGTACAAGATCCTTTTATATCTAGAGACAAAAAAAAGCCAATCAACTCAGTTCATTGTTTTCAAATGTCTCACCAGTTGTATAGCAGAAATCATGCAACCATGTAATTGCTGTCTTGCAGCATTCACATGCACATTTAACTAGTCATTTGAGGACACAGGCAGCAAATGATAGTTAACAATATTGATTTTCAAACTTGGTAGCTTTGTCCACTAATTATAACTGTGTTGTTTATACAGAAGAGTTTTCAACAACAGGAAGTTTGCTCTATGATATCCACCAATTTCTCTGTTAACCACAAGGGCAATAACAAAATGAGGACTGTGTGATGGTTCTTCAGAAAATTGGTATTTTTGGCACTATGGTGTTTCTCCACAAATTTGAAGAAATTAGAAATTAGTTTTTTCAAGCCTCTCAATTTTTTAAACCACTTCCTTGAAAACATCATTTTGAAATGTCCCAGGCCTTTACCAGCAAATAGACCAGATAGTTTGAATCCTTAGGTCAGGTGTGTTTAGGGTCATCCTGAAATAGAATCATAGACTACTGGAGTTGGAAGAGGCCATGAAGGCCATCGGGTCCAACCCCCTGCTGTTGCAGGACACCAAATTACACCATCCCACTCAGATAGCTGCCCAGTTTCTTTCTGAATATTTCTACTGTGGGAGAGCCCATCAGCTCTCTAGGCAACTGGTCCACTGTCATATTGCTCTGACAGTGAGCAAACTTTTCCTGATATCTAGCCTGAATCTGGGTGGCACAACTTGAGCTGTGTCTTATACTCTGGTATGGTATGAGCAAGACGAGATCTTGTCCTTCCTCTGTGTGACAGACTTTCATAGACTTATAAAGA